GCCCCCCGCCAGGAAGGCAGCGCGGGGGGCGGCCGCGCGTGCGACCTGCGGGGGCCGGTTTCGGGGCCAGCTCGGCGCCGCGGCAGGGGGGGGCGCGCTGCCCGGGCCCGGGCTGCGCTCGGGGTGCTCCGGCCGTGCCCCCCGCCTTCTCCAGGGTGGACTTAGCCCCAGGGGCTGCGGGCGCTTCCGCAGGGCGCGCTTTCCCCGCCACGTGTCTCCTCCCGCAGGCCCTCATGGATGCCCGGGCCCCCCTCGCTCTGCTGCTCGCCGCCTGGAGCGCCGCTGCCGCCGCCGCCGCTTTCCCGCACCGCCTGGTCCAGCCGAGTGCCCGGCGCAGCGCCTGCAAGCCCGTGCCCAGCAGCATGGCCCTGTGCCACGGCGTGGGCTACAGCGAGATGCGCCTGCCCAACCTGCTGGGCCACGACACCGTCAAGGAGGCCTTGCAGCAGGCAGCCTCCTGGGTGCCGCTGCTGAGCAAGCAGTGCCACCGCGACACCAAGAGGTTCCTCTGCAGCCTCTTTGCCCCCGTCTGCATCGGCGAGCTGGACGCGCCCGTGTTCCCCTGCCGGACCCTCTGCGAGGCCGTCCGGGAGGGCTGCGCCCCCGTCATGGCCGCCTTCGGCTTCCCCTGGCCGGACATGCTGAACTGCAGCCGCTTCCCCGCAGGGAACGAGCTCTGCGTCCCACCCGTCGGCCCGGACGACGGGCCGCAGGTCCCCGGAGGAGGTGAGTGGGCGAGTGGCAGGGACGGTGCCTGCAGGAGGCCGGGTGCAAGCAGCCGCGGAGCCTCCCCCCACGGAGACGGGGCAGGGAGGGAGCCACGGGCCGGGCTGGCTTCCTCTGTGGCTTCCTCGTGGCACATGTGCGCCCCGCCAGCTGCTCCGGGGCTGAGCACATCCGCCAGGGAAGCAAAGGACTTTGCTTTGCGGAATCCAGCTTCCCGGAAGCCCTGCTGTCCCGAGGAAAAAGACACTTTGCTTCCCGCCTCTGCGAAGGTGACTGAGACGTGTGAGTCAGCGCCGGCGCCTGGCCGATGGGCTTAGCCTAAGAAAACAAGCGAGCAGGCGAGCAAACAGGAGGACTGAGGAGGGCAGGCGCAGGGGCGGATCCCCGCTGGGCCAGCGGGCCTTGTGCAACGCTAGTCCAAGCAGAGGGCGGGCACGGGTGCTGCCCCTGAGGTGCAGCTGCGGTCAGGCCCCGCTCTGCGCCGCACCCCAAGCCGCCTCCCGGGGCCTCGGGGCCTGGCAGCTGCACCGATCCTGCTGGGGCGCTCTCTGCAAGGGCCGTCTGCACCCGCTTCGCCGGGACGCCCGAGCCTCCGCAGCTGCACGCTTAGAATTGGGCGGCACTGAACGCGGCACGGCCCGTTCCAGAGTCGGGGCGCCAGCTGCTGCCATAGGTCTCCGCGTGCAGCAGAGCTGCCCCGCTTCCTGGCCAGCGTCCCCAGACCGGGGCCATCCCTCACCGGGACACCCGGCCCTGCGGAGCGCATGGTTCTCATGGCACGCCCAGCGCCCGGAAGCACCGACGGCTCCTCAGGGAGGGGGAGGCACGGCGTGGGGCTGCTGGCCTCCCCCCCCCCGTGGCTTTGCTCCCAGCAGAGGGCCAGCGGGGAGTGGACACCTGGGGGGAGGTGCACGGGGCCCACGGGGCCCGAGGAGACGGCGTGCCCAGCACCGCGTGTTCGTGGCGAGACTGGACCTGCTCGGCAGCCGGCGTGGCGGGTGGGGGGAGCAGCGGCCCAAACGGAGGGCCACGGGAAACGCCCAGGGGCGGCTCTGCTCGTCCGTTGTTTAGACTGGCCTTCCCAAACCCTGTGCCCTCCGGTGTCAATGCCCAGTGTTCCCAGTCAGCGAGGGAACGATGGGAGTTGTAGTCCAATACATCCAGGTTGCGGAAGGCTGATGGCAAGCGTCCCAGGCCACGCTGCAAGCTCGGGGTGGCCCAGGCCACTCAGCGGTGACCAGAGACCCCGCCTGCCCCCGGCTCCCCTCACCGGGGGGGACATGCCCTGCTTCCCCCTGCCCCCGGACCCAGCCAGTCCCCAGCGCAGGGCGGCGAGGCGGCAGAACTGCGGCGAGTGGCCGCCCAGCGAGGCCAGAGAGCAGCGCCAGGCGCAGAGGCTGCCCGGGGGCACGTCGTGGGGCGACCTTCCCGCCGAGCTCTCCGGCTTCTCGCAGCCTGAGCTGGGGGCGCTGCCAGCATTAAGAGGTGGGAGTCAGCGGCCGTCGTGGCCCAGAAGAGCCCCTCCTGGCGCTGTGCCCCCACCCAGCCCCAGAGTAGTCGGCCACCATCAAGCTTGCTGGTGCAGCTTGGGTGGCACGGGGCGGGTTGGCCGGAATTCCAGAGCGATTTACTGGCAGGTCACCACGGACAGGTCAGAGAAATTAAAGCCCCGAGATTCAAAATGATAGAATGTAATAGAACATGGTTATCGTTCCATGTATATCCCACCGTCCGTCCATCCTCCCCCCTGCATAGAACCAAGGCAGCTTATATGGTTCCCCTCTCCATTTCACCCCAGAACAACCATCTTGCGAGGAAGGATAGGCTGAGCGGCTGTGACTGACCCAGTATCATCGCCTTAGCTTTGGGCTGAGCCAGGCCCAGAACCCAGGCAGGCGCCAGCAGCCCTGTAAAGATCTAAAGCAGTCATGCATCTAAAGGCACCCCCAAAGGGCAAAATGCCCCCCAGGAAAGTCAGACACTCTGCTCCTGGAGGCGGGAAGACCACCATGAGCGCACCGGCTGAGTCTCCAGAGAGGGCCTACACACCTGGGGGAGGTTCCTTCCCACAAGAGCCCCCTGCCTAAGTAGCCCCATTTGCTGCAGGTACCCAGAGAAGGGCAGGGGAGGCGGCCCCCAGTGGCCTGGCCCCGAGCTGCTTTGGGCATTAAAAGCATTTGCACCAGCCTGGGAACGGCTGAGGAGCTGGCGCAGTTCACGAGCCGCCGTGTCCCGCTGTGGCGTTTCCTCGGCAGCCTGTTCCAATCTTTGTCCCACAGGTGTGGTGTGCGCAGCTTGCCGTGACACCGGCCATGCCGAGAAGGAATTCCTGGAGAGGGTCTGCAGCCAGGGTTTTGGTGAGTCTCCTGTCCCGCCCTGCCCCGATGCCGGTGGGAGTGGCGCTTGGGTCGGGGGCTCTCTGGAGGCTGGAGCAGGCGCAGCTGCGAAGCTCTGACCGTCCACCTGCTCTTCTTTCCCCACCCCAAAGCTTTAAAGATGAGCATTAAATCTTTGTCCGGCCTGGAAGGGGGCCTGAAAGTGGCTCCAGAGATGCGGAGCCGCACGCTGTACAGGCACGACGGCTGGTCGGAAGAGGAGCTGCAGAAGCCGGTCCTGTGGCTGCCTGACGGAGAGGCCTGCTCATGCCCGGCGCTGGCTGGGCCCCCCGGCACCGTGGTCCTTGCCATGGGGCACCGGGTCGCTGGCCAGCTGGTCCTCTCCTGGGTGAGGCGGTGGCAGCGGGGGGAGAAGGAGCTGAAGAAGTTCTCCAGGGCCGTGCGGAAGCTGCAGTGCTAGAGGAGTGCCCGTCCGCGCACCCTCCCCGTGCGCACACCGGAGCCGGACGAGGGCGGCCCCACCTTCCTGGCTGCCAGCCTTCCATAGCGGGGCCGCATCGCTCCCTTGAGGTGCCTTTCTGATCCAAGCGTCCCGTTAGTGGCCCTCATCGTATTCTGCTCCTCTTCCTATTGAAGTTCCTCTCCCATTTCATGGCCTCGTGTGCCTTCAGGGCTTCCTGCTTGCATCCGCCGGACAGTTTTGGGCTGTGCTCCGTCTCCAGTGGCTCGGCCTCCTGCTCCGCGAGTCTTGGGGCGGTTCTGTGCCGGCAAAATGAGGCCCCGCCTGGAAGTTCTGTGGCTGGCACATGCCGCCCCCCCCCCCCAGCTCCACTCCATGCGCACAGTTTTGAACACACAGATGCTGCTTCTCTGTATATACACACAGGGCTTTTTTTGTCATAGATCGCACCAGAGCAGCGTTCCGGCACCTTTTTTGACGGATTTTCCCAAGTGATTGCGAATCACCCTGTTGGGCATAGCAGGTCGGTGGCAGAAATTGTTAAAATAGTGCCTGCGGGCGATGGTGAGGGTGCCGCTCGGCTTGGGATTGGTCGTGTGGCTGCGCGCTGAGTGCTTCCTGCCGGCGGCGACCATTGTGTAAAAGTGTGACCCCAAGACCCAAGTTTCGGCACCTTTTGGGTTTTTTTTACAAAAAAAAGCACTGTATGCACAGCCATAGCTAATCATTCAAGATGCCTTGAGGGGGTTCCCTAAGGAGAAAAGCTGGGATAAAAACCAAATAAATAAAAGGACTTTATCGTGTGGGCACTGGGCATTCCTGTTTCGTGGTTACTTGTTTGTGACTGCCACGTGAAGTTGCGTGAACAGCCCGTGAATAATTTCCCAGAGATTAGTTCAGCTCTTACGTGAGCCGGTCCGTCCAAGCCACTGGGCTCTTGCTGTCGCATAACCCGAGCGTGCCTCGCGCAGTCGGTTCTGCCAGCCGCACGGAGCAGGGAACCGTCGGCGGAGAGACGTGAGGTGGCGGGAGGCTGAGAGACACCACGGAAGTACAGGAGGGCTGCTTCTCGGCGTGGGCAAGCGGGACAGATCCTCGCCTTGCTCATGTACCGGCGCTGTCCGCACCACTTGGCGCCACCTGGCCGACGTCCTCTGGCTTCGGGAGATGGCAACGGTCCGGAAGTTTGGGATGGGCTTCCTAGAAAAGCCCGTCTGGAGCCATTGCTACTTCCATTTTGGTGCCAGGTGAGACTGCCCTCTTCTGCAAGTACTTTGAGACCTGATTGGAGCACCGGATTGCCAGAGCGCCCTCCGCTCCCAGCAGTTCCCCGCTTCCTTTGGATTGAACTGCTGGCCTGTTTTTTTAAGGCGGTTAGCCACTTAGCCCCGTCAGGCTATTCAGCAGCCTGCAGATTTAAAAATAAAGTTTGGGAGGTATTTCCACAGCAAGAGAGGTGGCGAATGGCATTTGTAAAGCTGGTGCCTGACAGACGGGAGGACCCTGGAGGAAGAAAGGGGAAGCCCGGGGGGGAAGCTCCCTCAGACGCAGACCGCGTGCTTCGGAATGGGGTGGAAGCTGGAACCCCGGCTGCCCTCCGCCGTCAGCCATGCACCTGACCCGGAAATGGCAGGACCAGCCAAGTCCTGGAGCCCCCTCCCACTCTGCTTTTCAGATCGAGGTTGCTGGATGAGGTTTACTGTCTAGTAAATTAGAATAAAATCTCGGCCCCCCATTGGTCACCCACACCCTTTGTCATAAATGGCAGGAGGTTCTAGGAAAGTTTCAATTGGAAGATAGCGAGCCAGCGAGAGCGGCTTCAGGTGCAGCCCAGAGATGGGCTCCCACGTTGTGCAGTCTAGTTACTAGTAATAAAACACTGGTTGGTTCCGATTCTTCTCTGCTTAGTAAACAGGTATCTGCATTTACTGAATGGGGTCAAAACAAAACCGAAGCGCTCGGTGCACCTTGAAATGAAGGCAGGGCTGCCGTGAGGGAGGTGTCTGGCCCCCCATCGGGGGCGCAGTCTGCAGGAGCGCGGGCTCGGCCCCGTCAGCGCAGCGCCTTTCCGGCAGGATCCAAGGGCAAGGCCAGAGTCCAAGTCAAGCCACGTCTTCTTGCGCGCCAGTCCGGAAACGATGCCCAGGGCACCTTGCTCAGAAGCCGCTCTGCCCAGCCCAGCGCGGCCAGAGGACTCCCTGAGGCCGCCTTATCCCCAGCGCACAAAGCTGCCGCTCGGTCAAAGATGAGGCTGCCCACGGGACGCCCGCGACAGGCGGCTTTAATGTTGGCGGAGCCCTAACACGCGGGCAGGGCTCTGCCCCGCCATGAACACGGCCCCTTCCGACCGGACGGCAGCTCCGTCCGGGCAAGCAACCACGCCGCCCCTCCACCCAGCACGCCTCCTGGCCGGCCCTCCTGCGCACCTCACACGAGGGCCGAGTGCCACAGAAGCTCCCTCGGCGCTCGGCCCGGGAAGCTCCGCACAGCATCTCCCCCACCCTGAGCGAGGTCTGGAGTCGTCGTGGGGCTTCCCGCCAGTCCCTCGGGCTTGAAAATGGCTCCGCGGGTTTGCCTTGTCCTGCTCTCTCAGACACTGCCGTCTGTTCAGCCGCGCCTGGGCTCCAATCCTAGACCTGGTGTCTGGAAAGAGGCTTCGCTGCCGGTTTTCTTTTTGGACTGGGCTGCCTGTTTCCCGTCTGTCTGAATTTCCACGGAATGCTTGACAATTTCACCCAGGATAGGAAGCACCAAAGATAACAGGAGTCAAAAGAGCCCCTGCCGACATTAATGGAATGACCAAACTCTGTGAAATTCATTGCAAGGGAAATGTCATCCCTAGAGAAAGAAATGAAGAGTTACGTGGGGGTTTTAAGAAACAGGCTTCTGTGAACGGCCAGGAGCATCGGTGGGTGTCTGGACAAGCCCTTCCACCCACCCCTTCCCCTCCCCCCCCACAGCCCGCACAGCTTCCATGCTGCGTGGGGTGAACAGGCCCCCTCTGCCGCACGCAGAAATCTGGCAAGCTGCCCCGCGGAATTCCTCCTCCCCGCCGACCAACAGGGGAGGCGCTGGCGGAAAGGAGGTTGCGTGCAGCCGTGCCGGCCAGCCACGCAGCTGCGGAAGGGGGCCGGGGAAGGGGACCCCAGGCAGGGGAACTGGCGGGCGCCAGGCCGGAGGCGACCGCTCTGCAAGCACGGCGCGAGGCCCCGCCAACCTGCTCCACCCCAGGCGACACCCCAAAGGAGGCTGCCGGTTCCAGGGCCCCGACCGGCCCGCTCCCGCCGGGATCGCTCCCCCGCGTCACACGCCTGACCGCCAGGCAGCTCTGCAAGCACGGGCTCTGCGTGGGAAGCGTTCACCTGGCGAGCGCCTCTCGGGGCCGTCGCTTGCCCGCCTTTACGTGCCAGTAGGCACGCAAACCCGCCGCTCACGCAGCCTGGCTCGGCGGCCCGGCCCAGCACGCTCCCTTTGGATGCCAGTCACTGTGAAGTTCCATTCTTTCTCTCCAGAGCAGCACCGCCAGTTCCTACTGCCGCATCGTGAGGTAGATGGCACTTCATCGCGTGAGTCACGGCCAAGGGGCACTGCGATATTCACGTGTGCATGCAGGATAATTTAAAGAGAGGGTTAGAAGCACCTGGACCTGGAAGAAGGGGTGCAAGCAGCACCCCCCAGCAGAGCCGTCAGGAGAACTCCGGCTTCAGGTTCCAGAGTCCCTCCCCATTTGACTGCCTGTGGAAAGTGCAGAGGTTTCTCAGGAGCTCCCGGAAGACACAGGACTGTTGCACTGTCAGCTTCGACTCGAACTCGTGCAGGATTTCCTGCGTGCTGGCCCGACCGGGCACATGGGCCTGGAAGGCCAGAAAGTTTCGGATATCCACCAGCAGCTCGTCATGCGCCGTGGCCGCTGGAGGAGCGCCCCCTGGCCCCGGGGGGGCTTCCTCCCCCGTTCTCTGGGGCATAATGAGGTGATTTCTCTCCCGCATCCTAGCCAGCAAGGACGAGGAGCTCAGCATGCTGGAGGACGACGACTCGCCGGCTTCCACTTTCCCCTCAAGGTGAGCAGCGGAAGCATTTTTCTTGCTGTTCTCTTCTCCCCCACCCTCGTCCTCCTGCAGAGAGAAATGGAAAAGCTGTGAGTGACAGGCACCCGGGGAAGCAGAGGGCGAGGCTGCCATGAGCCCCAAAGCACCCGCGAAGTCACAACTCATCTGAGCGCCCAGTGGGAAGGAAGGGCCTCATCCTGGCCTCACCGCTCGCGCCACACGTTGGACCCCTCCAAGATCCGGAAGGACGCGCTCAGGAGGGCTTTGCCAAGGTGCCAGCTGCTCCGCTGCAGCGTGACCCGCCCAGGCACTGGCGACCGACGCTCTGCGAGAACGTTCGGGGCAGCGCTTGCCCACTTCTGGTGCCCGCGGTGGTTGCCACACACGGCTGCTTCATGCAGGCACTGCACAACTCGGCCCGCGGGGGGCCGAGCGATGCCGTGAGCGCGGCCCTTTCCGGCTCAGCAGCCCTTCTCAGGATGACCTCACTGGTACGGATGCCCCCAATTTCTCTCTTGGTCCCCCCCCCCCACAAGCCCCTGCGAAGACTCAAGCGCTGAACTCCAGCTCTACTGCTGCAGAACTGGTTCTGGACCCCCCCGCCCCCACCCTCTCCCTCTCTCTCTGTTAGGCAGGAAGCTCCCCCTCTTTATAACTATAGAGCATGTTCGGGATGCAGCAGGAATATTTGTCCTCAGGACACGCTCGGGTTAAAAGCTCATGCTTGCTCTGCATTTTTCTGATGAATAAGCATTCCTTTGTGAGTGCGGTGTGTGCTTGTGTGAATGCAAAACCAGGGCTTGTTCTCTGGCTGCGCGCATTGAACCCCGAGCCCCTCGGGGCAACCTGGAGGGCAGCTGCCACCTTGTGGGTGCCGCTCCCCCAGATTCCCTGGCCTAACAAGGGCCGTCCAGAGAAGACGCCCGAGGCGAGGCAGAGCGATGGCGCAGGGGGCTGCGGCCCTCCAGCTGCCGGATGCGGGGCGGCCTCTGACTTCGGGCGACGGCCCGATCGTGTCCTCGATACCTTTCAGATATCCAGTGCCAGTTGCTGGGATCTGCAGAAGGCCGCGTTTCTTGGAAACGGACGCAAAACCCGTTTTCTTAGAGCACGCGACAGCACTGGGTGCAGACCGGCCGTCCACACGGTGCCGCACTGGCACAGCTCGCGGTCGCTGCCACTGTTGCCGCGAGGCGGCCGCGCCATCAGGCTGCTCCCGCTTACGGCCACCCCCCGAATGAAGCCCCCAAACGCCCCACCCAGCCCCTGCTTTCCAGGCTGCGGCCCCCTGGGGCAGTTGTGTGGCTACGCTGCCTCTTGGAAACATCCCCGGCTCTCCCTTTCGAGAATCTGGCAGCCTCAGTGCCGGATGCAGAGACGCGCAACAAGCCAGACTTTTCTGCGCTTCTGCTGTGCCTCATCCGGCGCGGGACGGCCCTTCCGCCGACCTGCCAGGCCCCGCGAGGTGGGGCCCCTGCTGCGGAGCAACCTTGCCGGCGGCCGGGACCTTCCCTGAACTACCATGCCCGAACGGGTGAGAAGGATGGGGCGGCCGTAATTTGGACCCCCCCCCGCCCCCACCCGCAGGCCTCCATTCACGCCAGCCGCAATACGCTCCTGCTTCACCTTGCATTTCTTCCCTGGGGCGGGAGACGGAGAAGAGGGCGTCACCAAGCGCGGGTTCCTCTTCTGGCCGAACCTGCTTCTGAAAGTAGAGGCCATCACTCAAGCGGGTGCCCCCCACCCAGCGGAAGGGCTGCCCCAGGGCGGCCCCCACCCGTTCACACATGCAGGCCCTCCCGCTCCATCGCCGTCCTCCCCCTTCCTGCCCCACTGTGGCAAGCAGGCTGCAGGCGGCCCCCGTCTGCCCAGGCGGCCCCCTCCCTTCTGACCAGGGCCCGGGCAGAGGGCGGGCCTTTGGGGGGCTTAACTGTCTCCCCAGCAGACCGCATGGCGCCCCTAGGAACGCAGCCCACTCGTGCCACGGGGCCCTTGCTGCCAACGCTGCATGTCCAGGCGGGGGGTGGGGTTAGGGCTTCCGTGGCCCCGGCTCGCCCAGCAGCCCCAAGCCCAGGGCGAGCGCGAGTGTGAGGGCTGGGAGGGGGGAGTGCAGCCAGGCGCAGGCCGTTCCCGGACAGCAGAGGCCCCTGCGGCCAAGTGGGTTGGGGCACAGCCGAACGGCGGGCCTGGCTGTGCCTCTCCGCCACCTGGGAAAGGGCCACGGGGAGCCCCCACTGCACGGGGGCACGGGGACAGAGGGGTGGCATTCCTGTCTCTGCCCCGAGTTTCAGGACTGGCTGCAGATCAGAGAACAAAGAGCCGAGAAACACCGAGCGCTTTTCGTTTTCTCCTGTGGCAGCCCAGGCTGTGCCAAGACACGCGGCCTGGCCCGGCCCCGTGCCATTCTGTGGGGAGCTGCCGGGGCTCAGGCGGGGGAGCCCCGCAGGCCGCTGCCGCCCGGCTGGCCACCCGCCTCACCGAGCCCGGCCTTCTAGAGATGTGCCAGGTGGCAGACGCGGTCGGCTTACTTTCCTCTCGCAGGCCGGCCAGCGGCGCCCGTCCAGGCGGGGGCAGCCGAAGCGGCTCCCCAGTACTGCCGCCGAGAGACCCTGAGGGCCCCGAGGGCGTCCTGAGCCACGCGACTCGCTTCCGCTTCCACGAGCACGTAATCGGGGCTGGAGGCATCCATGATTGCGTCGTGTTCCATCGCGCTGTGTATTCCTGGGCAGGGGGAGAGCGAGGAGGAGTGGGCTTGCCGAGGCCGGAGCGGTGGCCGCAGTGCAGCCGGAGCCCAGCCACTCCCTGCGATGCAGGCAACCGTTCCCGTCAGAGCAGAGTGGGGGGAGCCCTTCCAGCGGCTCAGCGGCTCGCACGGGGCCCGTGCAGGGCGGAGCGCGAGCAGGAGACCGGCCACAGGAGGGCCTACGGAGAGCCCGGCCGGCCCGGGAGCGTGGGGGACCCCCGGCTACATGGCCGCTGGGTGTCGTGACGAAGCCTGCCGGAGGGACAGGCCTCCCCCAAAGCGGGGGACCAAGGAGCTGTCGGAAGGAGAGATGGCCATCGGCGGCCCGCCTGGGCCCCCGCACCGCTTCCCAGCCGCCTGGCCGACGGCAGAGGGTTGCAGCTTCGGCTCGAGCCGAGAGTCCCTCCGGCAGGCCTTGTGGTCCGCTCTGCTCGGTCACGTCGTCTGCCTCGCGCATGGCCTCTGACGCTCCCTGGGTGGATCTCAACCAATTTCAGATCCAGCACAGCAGCTTCGAACTACAGCATGAATCGAACCGAGGAGCGACGCGAGGCCAAAGAGCAGAGAAGTGCTGCGAGGGGGAAGCCGTGGGGTGAGGCGTGGGGCGGGCTGACGCGAGGCGGAGAGAGGGGGCAGCTGGACAGCTGTGGAAAGGTGGCGGGCAGGCCGAGCGGCGGCTGGTTCTCACTGGGGAGCAGAGCCGGCGTCTTGCCCAGACGGACCGGTTAGCCAGAGGGGTGCGCCTCCGTATCGCAAGACATTCCAGGCTGCTGGACCCAGGATCGGTCCGAGGCTGCGTTGGAGGGAGAGGGGCGAAGGGGCGCTGTCATTCGTCCCATTCAGCGCAGGGGGCTGAAAGGGGGATTCTTTGTGCAACCTCATACAGTTCCTTCCCAGGTCAGCTGTTCTGTGTGATCAAAAAGCCCCCCCGCCCCAACCAACGGGGAGCGATCCAGCGTGACCTGGCGCGCATTAACAGACGTTTTCCGTGAGGAAGCACGTCTGCTTTCGAATGAGAGAACTGCATCGTAGGGAGATAAAAACGAGGTTTCGGCAAGGATGGGTAAGACCCCGGTCCAGGTTCCTTGCCAGACCAGTGCTGACCTACGGCGCCCGATTAAGGGAAACTGGCAGTCCGGGCCGTGTGCACAGGCACGCGCTCACACACGAGCTGTTCACCTCCCCCAAATGCTCCGAACGAATGATGCAGCGTAAGGCGACGGCCGCATATTCTGGAACCCCCCCCCCCCCCGTTGTTGCCCACTGGAATGCCTTTTCTGGCCCTGGGCATGCTTTTGCAGAATGACCCTCAAGAGTTTTACCTGATTTTTTGAAAAGCTTCTCCAAAACATAGTCATCAGTTTTCTTTGACTCTTTCTGTTCCTCCTCCTCCTCCTGGTCTTGCTTCCGGTACTTTCTCTGCTTCACCAGGTGAGGAATGCGCTCGCCCTCGAACTTGGCATCTCGGACACGCTTGGGCTTCCTCGGCCTGCCCTCGGGGCGCCTGGCTCCCACAGCGTGCCTGCCGTTGCCGTCTGCTCGCACATCGCCCCCCTGCCCCTCGAAGGGGCCACTCTTCTTCTCCGCCAGGCTATCCTGCCCGCCAGCACCTACACGAGACTCCCCTCTGGGTGCGGCGTGCGGCAAACCCGCATCCGCAGGGCCCCGCTCGTCCTCGGGCGGCGCTCCAGGCGGCGCTCCCTCTGCTGGCCCCAGCGGCCTCTCCTCCACTCTAGCGAAGGACTCTGCCTCAGCCGGAGCGTCGTGTTCTGGGAGACCAGGCAAGGATGCTTCTGTGCTTCCCGGGATGCCTCCACTGGGTTCTGCGGGGGCAGTTGCTGGCACAGCGCCTGGGTGCGCTGAGGGGCAGCCTGGCAGCTTGGCGCCGGCGGGCGAGGGACGCTCTGCCGGGTGGCGTCTTCCAGCAGCACCAGAGAAGCCTGGAGCCTTCCGCTTCGACCGAGGCTTCGGCTGAGGAACATCAGAGCCGGTGCCTGCAAGGGAGCGCACAGGCAGGCGTCAGCCGTCCCGTCCCGTCCCGTCCCCCGTTTTGCGGTGGACATTCCAGCGCCGTCACTGGACGTACCTGCGAAGATGGCGCTGGTTTCGGTCCCCTGCATGTTGTCCGGGCTGCTCAAAGTGAAGAGTTCATACAGATCGTTGGATTTGAAGAAGCGCCTCTGCTTTGGATCTTTCAGCACTCTGTTTGTTAGAAATTGTTTGAAGATTTGTCTGGAAAAATAATGTTTTGGGGTAAGACAGCTGCAGGTCTCTGCCCAAAGCACCAAATATGAAACTCCAGAACAAGAAGATTATATGACCTTTATCTTGGAGAACCATTATACAGGAAACAAAACTGTAGTTTCGCACATGTGCTCTGATGTACTTGGGTTAATGCTGAACAAGCCACCAATTGCTACCCATTTAATACTGCATTTAAACCTCCCACAACAAACTACAAGAAATACCCTTTGAAAAGCTGTTTATGGCCAGCAGAGTAGCAGGCAGCTGGAAGCTGCATTTTGTTTTACCAAAAAAGCCAACGTCCCTATTAAAGACGAGGAATTAAAATGCTAAATAACAGGGAAAAATGGCAGAGAAGTCCAAATGGGCACACCATAACGAAGGCGGCTCAGTGTCTGAAGGGAAGAAATGGGAAGACTGAAAGGGGGGAAAGAGGAGAGCCAGGCGTGCCATCGAATTCCCTCCCGCTTCCCCTCCCAGAAACAGGGCCAGCCCTCTGGCGCCCCCAGCCCCAACGCCCCGGGCAGGGCGCCTGCCCGTGCATCCTCCCAGCCACCCTTCCGGGGAAGCGGGGGACCTCGCCAGGCGCTGCAGGCACGCGAAGGGCAGGGCAGGGGTGTGCCAGTCAAGAAAGGCTCGCTGGCCGAGGTCTGTTCAATGCCCAGGTGGAGACGACCCGGGATCCCAAAGTTCCATCGCTGGCGGAGGGTGCAAAAGACTCTGCTTGGAAAAGCCCTTTGGCCCCACGCGTTTGCGAAGGGCTTTCCCCGTCTGCGCAAGCCGCGCGCTGGCCCCACCTGAAACGGCCGCGTCATTGAGACAAGACGCCGGGACACGCGTCTCGCGCCGCGGCTGGTTCCGGCTCTGTCTCTGCGCTGGCCGTGCGGCTGCCGGGGGCACTGGGGGACCCCCTCCCCAACTCTGTGCCCGCTGGAGCAGACACGCGAGGCCCAGGCCACCGAAGCTGCCCCTGCGCACGGCCAGCGTGAGGGCCGCCCATCCCAGCGCCTGCTCCCCTCAGGGAGCGCCCTTCCCCACCTCCCACAGGGCCGGGGCTACTCTACCAGCCCTGAAGCAAACACCCAGTGCACCCAGTCCCACATGCTGCAGGGTGAGCGAGAAGAGGGGGAGGCCGTGTGTCCCTGGGCCACCGTGGGTCCGATCCATCCTCTTCCCAGGTGTAAGCAACGGTCTTGCCGCACCCCCTGCCCACCCCCGGTGCCCGAACAGAGAAGGGGGAGCACGAGCTACTGGACTCGCCGCTGAGGGAGAGAAGCGCTGCACCCGACCCAGCGCCAGGGGGTGCAGACGCAGGGACCGGGGCTCGCGGACCTGTGGTAGATCTTTTCTTCAATGGTGCCCGCGGTGAGGAGCCGGTACACCGTCACCTCTCTCGTCTGGCCGATTCTCCACGCACGCTCTCGAGCCTGGAACACAGAGGCGTGCCTTGCAGACGGCATTTTCAGACACGAAACGGGGGTGGAGGAGCTGCTCCTTCCTCCCCCTCCCCCTCCCCCGCTTCCACATTTATTTAGGAGCCCCTTTTGTCCCTTTGTGGGGAGTCCAAGGCAGCTCCCACAGCTCCGTGTTATCCTCACAACGAGCACCCCATGAGGAGCCAGGGAGCAGCTGGCCCTGTGCGCCCCAGAGGCGGGTGGGGACCGGATCCCCAGGCTGGCAGTTCAGCATGCTGGCCGCCTCCCCCCCGGGTGCCCGCAGGCGTCTTCCAGCAAGGCCCGCAGCCTCGGGAGCACCGGGAGCCAGCATGGCATGGCGGCTTGTGTGCGGGACTCGGCAGTGGGCGCTGGAGGTCCCGCCGGGCCTGGGGCTGGCCGCCCGCTCTCAGCCTGTCCTGCCGGACGGGACGGTGGCTGTGCGAACCGCCCCAGGCTCCCTGCGAGCGGCGGAAAGGCAGGATACGACGGCGCCAGCAGGTAAGCCGAGACAACGTGCGAGACCCTGCCGTGGAAACCTCTGCACCGGCGTCTTCGGAGAGCGGGCGTGGAGCCCCGCTGAAGGCTGGGTTCGCCTTTCATGCGTGCCCGCAATGCCACGTCCTCACTGGGGATGACTGCCGGGCGCCCCCCCTTATTTATTTATTTATTTATTTATTTAAATTTTTTGTGTGCCGCCCCCATTGCTACACAGCCTCAGGACGGCTCACAACACAAATAAATAAACCAATATAATTACAAATTACAATTAAAATTAAAACTTGGAAACACACTGGCTGCATAATTATAACTATAAATATTAAAGATTATTAAAATACTGTTTGAATAAAAAGGTCTTGGCCTGGCGCCGAAAAGCAAATAACGACAGCGCCAGGCGGACCTCTCTGGGGAGCGCATTCCACAGATGGGGTGCCACCGCAGAGAAGGCCCTCCTCCAGGTACTGTGCCTCCTGATCTCTCTTACGGAAGGCTTCCAGAGGAGAGCCCCTGCTGCCGATCTCAAGGGGCGGGAGGGCAAATATGGCCACAGGCGTTCCTTCAAGCATCCGGGTCCCAAGCCATTAAGGGCTTTACAGGTAATTATTCCTGGGCCTCCCGCAGCCTCGGGGGCTGGTTCCCAGTGTTTAAACAGTGCAGTGGCTGGAAATGCCAGGGACAGAGGGATTTCCCTCACATAGGCAGGGAGCGCTCCTTGGCAAATGGAAACAAAAAACTGGAGACCAGTAAAATCATGGCGCCCATATCAGGCCCCCAAGTGCATTAGCCCTTTGCTGCAATGCTTCTGATGTCCCGTGCAGCTCGGCCCTAAACAAGCGACCTTTTATGCCAGGGAAGCCCTTCCAAGCGAGCCCAGCACCCTGAAGGCGGCAGGGTGGAACTACTCCCGTCTCCAAATCCTTCCCTGCTACATAAACTTAAGATACTGTGACCCAGGGAAGATGGCCGGATGGAGCCACTGGTCCGGGCAGGGCTCCCACCCGTGAAACCTGCCTGGGTGTCGGTAGTGGGATTCCAGTCGGGGTCGTAGATGATCACTCGGTTGGCTCCGGTCAGGTTAACCCCAAGCCCGCCGACTCGGGTTGTAAGCAGAAACACAAATATGGATTTGTCCTGGAAAGACAGACGGCACGGGGCACTTTCAGGAAAAGTCCAGTACGTCTCACGTGAGGTCTTCCCCGACCACGAATATGCCAAGCATGCATGGTGCTGGTCGGGAGGGCACCGTCCTCAGGTGAGTAGCCAAAAACGAACTCTGTTGAACCGCGGGGCTGACTTCTGAGTCAGCAAGTCCAGGATTCGCATGGAAGGAAGACGACTGCTGAAGCTCATCCAGGTCTGATAATAAACTGAACGATCCGTACGCAGCAAGCGCAACGCGTCATCACTGCATGGGCCTTAGGAAAACAAGGGGGAACGTGCCATGCTCCAGCGCCCAGGATGAGGATAAGCTGCTCAGAAAGGCTGAGCCACAGGGAAATTACGTCTGGGTGTGCAGGCAAAACACGGGGAACACATAAAGGAACGAGGAACAGAATCCACCACCTGAACCGCTGTAGGGAAGCAGCGGCAGGAAAGGGGTGCAGAGAAAACGCTTTTGCTGTTGTCCATCCGTCAGAGCCAGGATGACATAGAAGCACTTCCGCAATTAGGAATGTTGAACTGATTTGCTGGCATGCGTTGTGGCGAGGCAGAAAACCCCCACCTGTGTTCCCCAGGTAGCCCTCTCCCAGCAGCACCACGGCAAGTGACCAGGAGCCGCTCTCTGGAAGCCTCTGGGCCCAGCTGCAAAGGTCTGTGGAGCCGAGTCGTGCGAGGTGCGGCTGCCAGGGACACCGTGACGAAGGGCAGAGCCGTCCAGCAGCCAGCGGCTCACGCCGCCCGTGCCTCCGCAGCAGGAGCAGCTCTGGGACACAGGGCCTCTGGGCCGCCAGAAAGCGCCGCCCCTTCCCAAAGCCAGGCCAGTCTCTCTAAGGGAAGCTTGTCCGCCTGCCCTGCGCTGGAAGCTGCTCAGCAGACGAGCAGCCCGGCGTGCCTCTTTCGCTTGTGGTGCCATGTGCAATGGAACACCAGACTTAAGTCCTACCAGTCTGAATGTTCAAGAACAGGAGGCATAAGCAAGCCGGCTTCCAGGCGGGGTCCTCCTAGCTCTGGCTCTGCAAACAAGAAGGCGTTCCGCAGATACGCCGTTCTTTCTTTCCCAACAGATTATCTGAGATAAGGGGGGGAAATGGAAGGAGCCCTGGAAAAATAGAGGAGGCTCATGAGCAACGACCCCCTCCAGACCTCCTGGAAAACTCTCCAAAATGCCTGCCTTGGCAGAAAGCAGCTTGGCTCTCCCTGGTCACCTTCCTCCACGGAGTGGGGGCCCCCCAGCAGGAATCTTCACTCTCCCCCAGCGAATGGACACAGAGGAGATCGCTCAGCCTGGCCCCCCCCTCAGGGGAGGAGCCACGGGAGGTGCCTCCCTCCCACCTCACCGGGTCCGCTCCAAGCGCTCACTTTCCTCTTCCCTCTCCACTCCCTTTTCCTCTTGTATCAGGTCTGTTAAATTACGATCTCCCATGGCAGGGGCTGTTACACTGTTTTAATCTCTACAGAGCATTTACAACATTTTAGATACCTGAGAAGTGAACAACAAGAAGTGAAGAGTGTCATCTGACCTGGACCTGCGTTTTGTTATTTTGGGTAAAACTCCTCCCCACCTCAAGAACGCTCGTTCAACATAAACGTGGAAGCTGAGCCGAGGAAACCTTGGCGTTTGCTCCCAAATATCTAGAGAGTGCCCCCTTGTTTTCATCCCATGCCGAATTCATGCTCTGGCGGGGACCGGCCGGCCTTTCCTCACACGCGTCCATCCACACCGCTCCAGCAAGGATCAGGAGCCACCTGCCCGGCCAGGCGCGCCTCACCTCGTTGTACCTGGCGATCAGCGGCTGCCTCGAGGCGACGGTTGTGGCGCCGTCCATTCTGAGGTAGGAGTAGCCCCTCTGCTGCAGAAACGCTTCCAGGATATGCAGCATCTGCAGCGGCGACAGCAAAGGGGTCTGGTGGACGGGGCGCCTGCGTGGCAACAGCGAGATCGAGGCACTGCGGGACTGCCCGGCTCGCTGGCAGCTCTTTTCAAGAACCGCGGCCTCCGGCCTGCTTTAAATGCTATGCAACGCGCTTGGAAAGCAGCCAAGCCCTCCTGCCGCTGTCCTTCTCCCAAGCATCCGGCGGGAAATGCTCCCGATCGGCATGCTTCTGCGGCCCCAAAATGTTCCCCCAGCACACTGCCAGAGACTGGAAATAGGCTACCCGCGTCCACCCAAAGGTGGCATCACTGCTCACTGGAATGAAGGAATGTTTTCCTCAAGTAGTGACTTGATTAAAAATGGGGGGGGGGGCAGGAACGGCAGCTTCCCCAGTTAAAACACAGCATTCTTTGCTGGTTCGGCAAAGCCGTCCCTCGCTTAGCACAACAGGCTGTGGTCGGCTCTACACAGGCATCCTGCCAGCAAGACATCTTGCCTGCGCTTACCTGCCTAGACTGAGAAAAAAGGAGAACCCGGTGCCCCTGCCTGTGCCAAATTTTCAGCAGAGACTCGACAACGATCATCTTCCCAGAACGTTTCCAGAACCCGAAGCGCTCCTCTTCACTTAGTTCCTCATCAGACACGCCCTTCAAGATCTTGGGGCCCCCCGTGAAGATGTCCGGGTGGTTGCAGATCTTCCTCAGGGCTATCAGACCAGAGAAAACCTGTGCGGAGGAGAGCCGAGCGCCTTCATTCTCAAAATGCCCCCCTCTCCTGCCCAGTAAACTAGCCGACGTACCAAAAGGAAAGCCCCTCGTTCCGGGGCGTGCGCACGTGTGCGCTGCAGGCCAGCCGTCGGCCTCGTGACTTCCTGCGCTGAGGCGCTGCCGGCACAACTCACTGAGCCTCGCTGCACAGCCCTCGCAGAAATGTTTCCCTACCGAGTTCAAAAGCAAAACTCCACCCATGTGAGGGGCGTCTACCCACAGCCCCTTCCTCACGCAGGGGCTGACGACCGAACCCGGAGCTCCGACCTGCCTCTGCACAGGCGAGCCGGAGTTCCGGGTTCAGTCGTCGAGCAGCCCAGCCACGCCGCCTCCCTGGTCCGGCCAGCGGCTTTCGCTCCTTCTGCACTGACCTGCATGTCTCCGTTGAGAATCTGATAGACTTCCTTGGAATCGATAAAGCTTTTGTAAACTTCGTGCTGCTCAGCTGTCAGTCGGCAGAACAGGACCTGGAAGGGACATGGACGACACACAGCAGTCACGAACACAGGCAGGCACCTTCCGAGGGATCTCAGGCACAGCAGCAAAACCGAGCACCTTCTCACAGAGGCACATGGCGTGACCCCAAGACCAGCCTCTGCAGCAGAGGACCAGAGAATGCCGACGAGAAGCGTTTTTCAAAAGGGATCCAGGGGATTTGGGGAAATTACAGGACAACCGGCTTAACATCAGTTCCAGGCAAAATGGAGGAAAGACTCATGACAACCAGCACCAACAAGCCTATAAAGCAGGGTCCTCAAACTTTCACCAGGGGGCCAGTGGAAAGGTGCCAGTGCTGGGCGCGGGCCGGAGAGGCGGTGCCGGCAGGACGCGTGGGCAAGGCGTGGGCAGGCGCGGGTGAAGGGAGGCGAAGTGAGGTGGGGCGGGCGGCCGATGCAGCAGCTTGCTCACGTGGAGGCTGTTTTCTCCTAGCGAGTCCAAAATGAGCTCCTCGCAAGCAAGCCGCTGCCTCCCTGCACGGGCGGGGGGGGGGCGAGGTGGGCAGTGGTGGGCACGTGCAGCGTGTGGGCGCATGCGCAGCGCATTGAAAACTTCTGAGGCAGGCCAGATCCGGCCCCCAGCCTGTAGTTTGAGGACCCCTGAAATAAAGGGACAAGCCCTGCGGGAAGAGACTCAACGTGGCTTCTGTACAGGTTAACCCACATCTCACTGATCTACGTTCAACCAATACTTTCGGTGGTTGTGTATGAACTGGATCAGGGATCTAACCCTGGGTTATTGTGGGAGCCTGATGCAGTGTGGAAGTGGCGGGCAGCCGGGGGGGCAACCTGCTCCCTCCTGGCGATTTTGCAAGCGAGCTGGGTCTGTACATATTCCGAACTGAGCTCTGCTGGAAAAGATGAGTGATACACGCTTTAAATACACCGTTTTCAAGAATTACAAAGAAATGGCAACAAAACACAAAGAGCAGATAGGTCTGCACGCTGCATGCCAGGCCTGAAAAAGAGCTTGCAATGCAGTTATTTTGCACTGAAAGGCGGATGGTTCAAAAGAGGAAGCGTTACTCTTCAAACCTTGGAGGATTACCTGTTTAAAGCTGTTTAGAAATGCCTCCTGAGACAGCAACATCTGGAAGTCTGCGCCCAGGGCCCAAGTGGCGAATAGGGGATCCCCACTTTAAATTCCTCCTTCAGCACCTCTGCCAGGAGTCTGGAAACGCCCACTGCCCTTCCCAAAATGCATGCGCTTTATGTCTCCGACTGGACTATGAAGATGTTTCGGAGAATTATTGCCAGCATTACAGCGGTTCTCATCCCGCTGCCCCCTGCCTAAGCACCCGCAGACCGCTAGCCGTTCCTGGCCATGCCATCTGGCCAGCGCTGGCTCCTTGCCAGGTTTTCATAGGATCACAGAATAGGAGGGTGGGGAGGGGCGGGAAGGCCCCCCAGTCATGGCAGGACACAGTTACCCCCTCCCACGGAGGTGGCCGCCCAGACGCTTTCTGGATGCCTCCAGCAAGGGGGAGCCCACTACTTCCCCAGCTAAGAGGTCCCACTCTCATGCTGCTCAGAAAGTGAGGGAATTCTTCCTGGCCTCTAGTCCAAATCTGGTCCCTTTTAACAAGTCTGTTCTTCCGTGTCCTGCATTCTGGAATGAACAAGAGACCTTGCCTCTGAGCCACTTAAGAGTGCTCTCCTATCTCCCCCGAGTCTTCTCTCCTTGAGACTAAACATGCCCAGTCCTTCCAGTCTGAGCTGTGTCTCCAGCCCCGGGATCATCCTTATTGCTCTCCCCTGGACCCTTTCTAGCTTTCCTGCACCTTTCCTAAACTGAGGTGCCCAGAACTGGACACCGGGTGAGGCCTGGCCGGTGCGGAGCAGAGGGGGCTGGTCCTTCACGTGTTCTGGAGGGGCTGCTCCTGCTGATGCAGCACACAATAGCGTTTGCCCTTCTGAAGCTGCACCGCACTGCTGGCACATGTTTAGCTGGTGATCTGCAACAACCCCGAGATCCGCCTCCTGTGCAGTATCGTTGAGCCAAACGTTCCCCATTTTCTAGTGCTACATTTGGTTTCTTGTTCCTAAGGGGAGCACTTGGCATGCAGCTGAAATCTTTCTTTCTGTAACTTAAAACTGGACTTCCTACTGCTGTGCCAAGACTTCATGAAATCACGTGGCTTCACATGCCATGAGGAAGCAAGACCAAACCCAGCTTGAGTGAGCTGTGCCTCCTTTTTCTCCGAGGGTGGGTGCACAAGAGGCCCCTCCCAGAGGAGGATGTGCAAGCCACTTTCTCAGAGGCAGAGGCTTTTCAGTGGGATTGGCATCCATGCTCGAGCCGTACCTGTTCGTTTTTATCGGGCAGCGAGAGGCTCATCTTGACATCACCCTTCATCCTCCGCAGCAAATATGGGTTGATGGTGTCACGTAAAATACATGCGCACTTGTATGCCGTTTTTACCTTTTCAAGAAGCAAGAAAGAATTTATTCTGGATTAGAAAGCAGTAACGTTTTCTCAGCAGATAAAGAAGCCTGCAAGCAATTTACGGCCATGGGTCTGGGTAAAAAGACCGAGCAAGACAAAAGCAGCCACAACTTCATTTTGAGGAGGACTCAGAAAATGGGGTGGAGGCTTTTTGGGGCGTGGAACACACTTCACGGAGCAGCCAGCACCTGCTACACGCGGCGGGCCCTGATGACAGGCAGGGCTCAAGAGAGAGCGGCGCAGAGATGCGTGGGCCACCCCACAGCGAATGGAGGCCGCCTGCAGCTCTGCCTCCCTCCGCAGCAGCAGCCGCCGCCGAGAGAAGGCCCTCTGGACGCGCCCCGGCCGGGCTCCAGGGTGCTGCCCGCGGGAGCGCAGCCGGAGCTCAGGGCTTGGCCGGCCGAGGCCTCCCGGGCCTGCACCTGCAGAACCGCACCTTTCCGCACCGTGTGGGCACAGCTAAAGAGCAACGCTGAGGAATGCGGGAACACTTGCCACCCCGGCCGAAACGACTCGGCCTGGGTTCACACGACACAGCAAGCCGCGGTTACAAGCCATGGTGCCTTGTCCTGTCAGGAGAAACTAGCCATAGAAATGAACGGGCCTTGAGCCACAACTATCCCAAGCCCCATTCGATTCAATGGGCCTGGCCCAAGTGGAATTTTCTCCAGCACAGAGCACAACTCGTCCGCGTGAGCCGTCTTAAAGCGGCAGCCTCCTTCAGGACGATCATTCACCACGCATTTTACAAACACCTGGAGGAATCTGCCTGGTCTCAAATGGGGGGGGGGGCACCTCCCTGAGGTCAGGAGCTGGGCCCCCGCCCTTATTATTTCATTTCCCCGGCTCCAGCCACGCTGCGAACCACCAAGGCTCCTAATGGCTCCACCCAGGGGCCCTTCGGGCAGAAAAACAGCCTCCAGCTGCCAGCGTGGCTGGCCGGTCCTGGCGACGGGGGGATGCGGGGTGCTGCAGGCGCGCAGGACGCGGGCGAAGGCCTCCGATGCGTGGTCTCCCATCTACAGTGCGTTCCGCGACCATGAGCGCGAGAACCAAGCTTTGCCCACATCGCAACCACGAAGCCCCATGCTTTTCTTTACCTGGACTGGGGAGGCATTGGCATACCCTCCCATGGTGATCGGAACAGAGAATTGCTCCATAAAGACGGGCAGTGTGCCCAGTTTTCCCGGAAATACAAAATCGAAGAGGGACCACAGTTCCTTCAGGTTGTTCTGCATGGGCGACCCGGACAGGATGATCCGATGCGGCGTGCAGAACTGCGACAGGAAACAAGCGACATCTTCAGGTTAGGATGCAATGCAGGGAAAATTCTACTGAGTCGTCGGCTGAACTGCCCGTGGTGCAACTTAACTGGAACGGCACAGCTAAAGCATGAAGTGCTGAACTTCATTTAGCTCAAAAGTCAGGGTGGGGCTCACAGGAAGCCCTGAGGGATTCAGACGCACACCTGTTTACAAGCGAGTGTAACCGCAGCGTTCGGATTCCGGATTTTGTGTCCCTCATCCAGGATCACGTAATGCCAGTTATAGCTGCACATGTTCTCTTGCAGCAAGCGAACGTACGAGTAGGAGGTTATCACAATGCCGCTGCAGGCGACCATCTCCCGAATCAGCTTCACCTGCGAAGGACGACACATTGCCCATTATTAGAATGGCGAGGGGTCGAGCGACGGATGCACACTGTGGTGTGCGAAATGCTCCTGCCATAAAGCTCCGAGCCACGAGTTACCACGCGGCCCCAAAATCATCCCAGGACACCTCGTCCTTCTAAACCTAACCCTAGCCTGGGGCACCCCCTAACCCTAACATAGGGCTAAGGTTCCATTGAAAAGAGGGCGATTTTGAAAAAGCCTTCCTTGAGTAGCTTTTTTTGCACAGCTCAACATTTCTGCCCATTCTAAGCACATTCCAACCCTCAAAATCATGCCAGGACACCTCGTTCTTCTAACCCTAACCCTAGCCTGGGGCACCCCCCTAACCCTAACATAGGGCTAAGGTTCCATTGAAAAGTGGGCGATTTTGGAAAAGCCTCCCTTGAGTAGCTTTTTTTGCACAGCTCAACATTTCTGTCCCTTCTAAATATATTCCAACCATCACAACCATGCCAGGACAATCGTTTTTTTAACCGTAACTCAGTGATGACCTTTTAGAGACCGAGTGCCCAAACTGCAACCCAAAACCCAGCTATTTATCGCAAAGTGCCAACACTGCAATAAAACCTGAAAACTGAGGTTTTAGTTTAGAAAAACCTCACAGCCAGTCCAAGCAAATATATATATCCTTGGCAGCGCACCCACCGGCCATGCGAAAGCTTGAATGAGCCGCGGCTAATAAGTCGTGGCTCGCGACATCATCGCCTGGTGCCGCTACTCCTTTCCGAGCATGCGCATGGCCCCCATGTGCGCTGTCATCCGAAGCTCGGCTGCTGGGGCGATGCTGGGGTGACTTGGCTCACGTGCGACAGAGAGGGCTCGGCGTGCCCGCTGTGGCACATTTGCCAAGGGTTCACCACCACTGCTCTGGGAACGAAACACTTTTGGTTTAAAGGCCTGCCTTGCAGGGCTTCCAAAGTCGCTCATCCCTAGCAAAAGCACGGAAAGATGGATCTGGGGCACCTGCTTCAGCTGGCACACGATGCAAGCAGGGGCAACGCCACCCCAGCCCAGGTACGGATGAGAAAGACCCACCGGAGCGGCACGAGTGCTGGGCATGCGCTTCAGGCCGACTCCAAGGCAGGGCAGGCTGGGGCTGCCGGGGCGGCTGCTGCTGGCCTTTCTGGGGTCAAGACCAGACCGCCGAACCCGCAGATCCTGGATCCAGTCCTCGCAGCCAAGGATTCCCAGCAGCTCCAAGCCACGAGAGCAGCACCAAGGAAGGCAGACAACGCCCGCCCTCTTTCCTCCTGCTGGCCAATACCTGAGCCTTTCTCCCACAGTGATACGCAGGGCGCCCGTACGTATCTAACTGTCCAGTCCCAATCTTTGGCAACAGGCGGAATGTGAACACCTGTATTCATCTGGAGCGGATGAATCGCAAGGGTGGGCCATGACATGGGAGTGACGGGAGTGGCTGCCAATCAGTGGGAGCCATGGATGTGCACGCGCAGCCCCCTCTTTGCCCAAACACCCGACTGGCGGATAGTCACGAGGTGCGAGCCTGGAGCGCAGGGCTGCCGAGCGGCTGGCCTGCGGCTTGTCTCTGGGTTAACTGCCGGATCCAGGCTTGCGCATCAGACCCCACGGTGCCACTGGAGGCCGTTCATGCAAAGCAGAAGGTGCGCACACCTAGCCTGCAACCTGGGAGACTGCGGCTGAACTGGCTCGTGGTCTGCTGCCCCTGCGTGAGGACCGGGTTGTGGAAGAGGGATCCCCGCTTCCATCCGCACCCAGCCACAAAGCTGCCTCGGGGCTTTCTGGGTGTTTTGTGAAGCAAAGGGAGGAGAGAAGCCCACCCCCCAACCCCCCAAGCAAGGGACACATGACGTGACATGACATCTCAGCGCCCTCGTGTTCCTGGGACTCTTGACCCGGGCTTCCCCTGCACCGTGCCAACTGCCCTAAGGTGACAGGGTCTCTAAAACGAGCCAAAGAACGTCCCACCATTTGCAACAGCCGAGAAACTAATGAGCTCCTGCTCATGCAGAGCTGGCAGAGCTGCGACCTTTGCACCACGGAGGCCTCTGCGGCAGGACGGCAGGGCCTCGCGTTTCCCAGCACGCAGACGGCACCTCAGCTTCCTAGCAATGGTCCACGACCGAGCACCGCGGGCGACTCTGACCAGCCACCCGGGACAAACCATCTCAAGCCGAGAGGGGCCAACGAGAGCCGCAAGAGCAGGTCCCCCTGGTGCCCCCGATGAAGGAGGCGCTTCTCTAGGGCTGCCGCTCTAGCAGGCGACGGTTAAATATGAACAGTTCCCCTGGTGAGAATCAGTGAAGGGTAAGAAAGCACCAGCGCCTTCTGGATGGACACGCACCTTCTTGCTGGCGTAGGAACCCGTCTCGTGCAGGACTGCAACCCTGAACGGCGGCCACCAAGTATGGAACTCTCTCACCCACTGGTGCATTACGGTGGCCGGACACACAATCACCGTCGGACCGAGTCCTCTGTACCTGCGGCAGGTGAGAGCCAGCAGCGATCTTTTAGGAGCCGCCGGAATAACGTGCAAAACAGGCTTTCATTCCCCAGCACCACCTGCACCTTTCGCGAGACACACAGAGGGCCGCTATTGCACGATTTCTGTACAGTGCTCCGTGCTGGCACATACCGATCCAGGGAACTCTCTGGTGCCCGGCCCTGAAGGGACGGGCTGAGCCCTCGGACGCCGGAAGAGGCCAGCGAGCGGGGAGAGCAGATCCCAGCCAAACTGCCCTGCCAAGTTTCTTTAAGTTCCATCAAAGATTAATATTTTATTTTGTTTTTCGACCAATAGAGAAATAGATATTAACAACCTTAAGCTTGATGGCGTATAGTTTTATTGGGTTTTATTAGCTGTGCCCCAACTTGGGAGTACTCTACAGTGAAAGTCCAAAGGTGATACAGTCCATTAAAAATAAATTAATGGAAGAGGGGAAAATATATGACACTAATATGTAGCCAGTGTTGCTACAGTGTTTCATCTGATATCCAACTGGGCAGATAATGTCCAACACTTTGATTGTACGAGACAGCTTCTGTCCACATAAAATACCTTCTCTAGTCTAAAATGCGCCATTTCAAACATTCAACCAAGCAGCACGTATTTTGGTACCACAGGCTGCAGCAAACTGAATCTCCCTCTTTAATATCAGGTACGTTCAAAATGTTGCTTGTTCAAATTCAGGCACTTGTACCGTTGGGGGTGCATCCCGCCTGTGCTGGCTTGAGAGGAAGCTCCACCGAACAGGGTGGCTTTTCAGTGCCAACCTGCAGAGTTGCGCTGCTGCTTCATAAATAGGCTGTATAGTTCCATTTTATATGGTAAGCGATTAACTGCACATTTTATGTTGTTAAAACAATAAAATAACGATGGGTTGCACAGGAAAACAAGTCTGGCATATATTGCCTTGCAGTGATTATTAACTTCCTGGTAAATCTCCTGCTTGGATTCTGCAAAGTGCGGTGCACTCTGACAACAGAAACCTCCAGATCCAGCAGTCCAGGGCCTCCTCCAGGTGCCCCATGCAATGAGGGGGCCTGACCGGCTGCAGTGGGGCTGCCCCCTTTGTGGACACGCTCCTTGAGGCTCCAGGCACCTGATGGACTTTCTGGTACAGGGTAAAGACCTTTTTGACCTCTTAGGCATTTTCAAATCTGTTGTGTTGTCTGCATTTTATCCTGCCACTGACTCTGAATTGATTTTATACACTGAGATGGTATTATTCTTTCTTGCTGGTTTTATTCTAGGCTGTTTTTATTTTTTGTTTAATGTCCACATTTTTATTGTTTGAATGTATTATATGCAGCTCTGAAACTTCAGCTATTGAGCAGTCTAAAAGTACAGCAATAAGTTAATAAATAAAATTTGATTTTGTCCAGTAATTTTGTGTTCTCACAAACCTGGGGGACAAAGGGCTTTCCCCCCACAGCTTCAACATTACCAGACATCTCTGCTTGCACCTGGTGTCCACCTGGTTTTCAAGGAGTTGGGAAACATTTTTGCTGGCTGTTCTGAATGCAGGACAGCAGGATATGGGGTGTGTTCTAGGAGAAAAGACACTTCCCCACTCTGGAGTGGCTATCAGCCGCCTGCGCTGACCCGAGAAAGGATTTTGCTCACTCGTGAGCCTCACTTACATCATCACAACAGGGCCAGTTTTCCAATAAAAGTGTTACCTGGTATCTTGCTAGAAAAAATTTTTGAATGTAAAATGTAATACAATGTCCTAAAGGTATTACACCTTTGAAAATCCGATGCTGTGGAAACTGCCAATATTAACATGGCTGAATTTGTAAACAGTCCATTTGTGCTGTCTAATCTTGGGCGACACGCTGGACCAAAGTGTCTGGCGAGGGTCACCTGTAACATGCAGTGCCCGCGCTTGGAAAGCAGTCGGCAGGTATGCTGCATTTTCCGTGCCCCCAGATCCACAGCCTCATAAATAAAATCCCTTTAATGCCCCCCCTTAAAAGAACGAAAGGAATAATTTATGGGAGTGGCATTAATAATGCACAGGCCCAGTCTCCGCAGCGACGCACGCACCGAGCCCGTGAGCGGGCTCTCGGCGAAGAGGACTTGCCTGTAATTGGAGCCGCGAGTCCTGATCTTGCTGTAGCTCAGGCCTGCCAGGAAGGCGATGATCTGGATGGTCTTGCCCAGCCCCATTTCATCGCCCAGGATTCCCCCCACCTGCTGGCAGTGCAGCTCCCACAGCCACCGCACTCCCGTCTGCTGGTACCTGCAAGCAAGAAGGCGAACGTGGCCCGTGAGAGAAGGCCCCTGAGGAGAAAGGAGCGCTGCTGCAGGAATTTCACTCCCGTTTCGGTTCGCCTTCAGGAAAACGCACCAGCCATTCAGAATGGGGGGCTGCAGCAACGCACGGCCCTCCAGGAGTGCCAACCTCCACCTGCCCCCATCCGTCATCACGGGCCAGGGCTGATGGGAGTTGCAGGCCAACCCCCTACGCGCAGAAACGCGTTGAAGTGCCCCTCCCCACAGACGGGGGTTTCGAGCTGGGACTCCTCCCCTGGCGCTAAAGGGCGACGCGTGGCGTGTTTTCAGGAAGCGCATGGCTCCCTCCACACAGTACGTGGCCCCCGGGGATTCTTCACTGAAGCTGAGGCAGCACTTCTCTGTCGTCGTGATGAGCCATCCGGGGGCCCCCGACTTATGGTGGTCCTATGAACAAAAGCCCCCCAAAATGCCCGGCCCCCGACAGACAGCCCAGCCCAGCTCAGCCCCCGTGGCTCCAGGCCGCAGCCTCCCTTCCGGAGCCAGTCCGCCTCGTTGGAGGCCTTTCTCCTCGTCGCCGGCAACTTTCTCCCCTACTGGCCGACTTGTATGCCATGGCGAACACGGCTGGCTTCTCCGGGAAGCCTTGCCGCCTTGTGAAGTGCACCAGCATCAGTTCTGCATCCAGAGGCTTGGCTGGGCTTGACCATCTTTCCGCTGGCCCAGGGCACTCGCAAAGCGCTCCCCCAGCTCCACGTTCCAAGCATTTCGATTCTGCCGCCCATCAGCTTCCTTCGCTGCCCAGCTTTCACACCCATGGACTGTGACTGGCATACACGAGCGGGGGTGATCCAAGGGAAGCATCCGTCCGCTTGGGGAGCTTTTCTCAGCCTCAGTCTTCTTCAAATTTCTTGGCTGAGTCTCCATCTGAAGACATGACTGGGCTGAGGGACGCACGATCTTTCTTATTTCTTCTGTAGTCGTAATTCTGGTTTTCTCAAAATTCGGCTGCTTTTGCCCTTTCTTTTTTCACGTTCACCAGGAGTCATTCCAAGTCCTTGATTGCTTTCTGGTATCATCTGCACATCAGGATAAGATACATTCTGAATGCAGACTGAACAGATGGGGAAATGAGATATGCCCTCGCCTGGGGCCTCTGCCTACAGGAAGCAATTCTGCTCCTCCAGATTCAGTACCCGCAGGAAATGCTTGTCTGCGATGCCAGGTCGTGCAGCAAGACGACCAAGTCCTGGGGCGACCCCACCTCTCGCAGAACCCCCCGCAGCTTCCTGTGATCCACAGTCCTCTCGTTCGTAGAGCACCGACCGTCAAGCAGGCCTGCGGGCTCATTCAGGTGCGATTCAGAGCAAGTCAGATTCCAGAACTGCGTTCCTCCCTGAGGCCGCGCGCACGGCTGACCATCTCAACCCAGACTGGGGTCTAGGTGTGCATGCCGCTGGACCGTGTCTGCCACACCTGCGAAGAAGCGCTTTCCACAGAACACTACTGCTCTCAGTGCACCTCGGCTATGCAGCCGAGCAGTCCATGGGTGTGAAAGCTGGGCAGCGAAGGAAGCTGAGGGGGGCAAAATCGAAATGCTTGGAACGTGGAGCTGGGTGGGAGCTTTGCGGATGCCCTGGACCAGCGGAAAGATGAGGGGGTGGGTGCCATGTCAGACTGTGTGGCCCTCCCGGGTCGGTCCTAATTTCAGCCATATTTAGAACAGACCCACTGAAATCACTCAGACTTAAACTACTCGCGACTGACTCCAGTCCCATCAATTTCAAGAGATCTACTCTAAATCTGGATCCAATCCATTATGTTTATTCTCGATATATGAAAGGAACTCCTGAGAGTTAAGGGGAAAATGAATGAACTGCTCCTCATTTCTCCATATTTCCAGCCCTTTGTCATATCTTCAAATGTATCTTTACAGAATCCTGTATCTTTCAGGATTTTTAAATGAACCGCACTGCTTTATTTCACCCTCACCCAAAACAACTTCCCCCAAAGTATACAGGTTGCAGAAGACTTGCTAAGAAAAATCAAGCGAGGGAAACCAACGCATTTGGAATTGGTTCCATGTGCTTCAGGGCCATGCACGCCCACCTCCGTGCTCCGCCAGGTCAGGCGGGGCTCCAGTGCTGGCTGGCTGGCTGCTCCCCCTCCTCCCTGCTGGGAGACCCTCTGCCCCTCCTGGGAGCCAGGCAAGCCGTCCGGTTCCCGTCGGCTCCTTCGCCCACTCGGGATGCTTTCAGAGCTGCCTCCAGCTTGCGTGAGGGTCCCATTCACTCGGGAGAGCTACCTTGTCGAGAGGCATTGCCAGTTGCCTGTCTTGGCTGAATCCCCACTGGACATCCCTGACCGCAGACACGGGATGCCGCATGTTCGTTAAACAGGCATAGCAGTAGAGGAGGGGCATGTTAACCGCTGGCGTTCTGGGAACGCACTGAACACGGGGCCAAACACATGCCCGAGCGTGGAGCGCGCTGCGGCCGCTTTCAAGTTCTCCAGTCTGGAGCAGCACCTAAAGCGGCTCAAATGGAAAGCTGTAGGAACAGGGCGAAACGACCCGCCGCTACATGCCCTGATCACGCTTCCTCAGGATGCACAAGCCCTTATGCAACCAGGCCAAACGGACCTCAGTCAGGTGCAGGATGTCATGGCGGAATTTTAACTCTCTCAGCATTTCTCAATTTGTACCAGTACTTTATTAAATTGTATGGGGAAATGCTTTGCCCACTACCCCAACGATGACTTATTGCCGGCTGCTTTAAAATACATACTTGAAAAGCTTTTTGAAGAGAAAACCTGGGACTCTAAAGCCCTCGAGAAATTCAGCATCACTTTCATCAGACTCCTCGCCAGCCTTCCGCCGGTCCTCTCGCTCTTTCAGCTGCTGTCTGTGCCACCTCCTGAAATGACAGTAAGAATTGCCACAGACCTGAGCGGACTCGACACCCGCGCAGGGCGGGCAGCCGCCAGAGCAGGAAAGCCCGTCTGAGGAGAGGCGCTCTGAGCAGACAGCGGTGGGCAGGTCCGCGTGAGAAGCCGAGCCCCGCTGCCCCTGCGAACCCCCCCGCGTAGGCCTGACCTGCCGCAGGTTGTTCTCCCCTTCTTCCTCAGCCCTCCACCTGAGCCCAGCGCGCAACCCGGGGGACCGGATGGCAGAACCGCCTCACCAACTCACCCAGGCACCCCCCTTCCTCTCCTAACTACCCCCGTCTATTCCCCGGCTTTTTAACAAGGTCTGCAACCTCACAAATGCGCCACCGGGCTCCTAGTTCTTAGGGCTGAGCCTGAAGGGGAGACTGTGATCTTAGGGTTGCCTTGTCTGTGGCCCTGCTGCCCACCCTCTTGCCGAGGGGAGCCGGGGAGCGGAGCGAGCGACGTGCGAGGAAATGGGCAAGAGGCTGCCGCCTACTGGCTGCCTTATATGCAGTTGCAAAGGACCATGGGATTGTCACACGCCGGTGCAGTGAAGAGCCGACCAACTGGTGCAATTTGGAAGCGCCACAAACATGAGTGGGTAAGTGCGTCCAATGGATGCAGGATGCAAGCACCTCCCCTGGCAGTGCAACACCCTTGCTTCTGAGTGTTGGCTCGAGGATTCCCGTTCCCCACCACCTTTTTAACGCTTCCCCAGTGCGCCACATACCCTGGAAGGGGCAACACTAGCGCCCTCCCTTTCCACACTGCCTTTTGGAGCAGTATCACCATGTATATTAATATAGGGCAGGATTCAGAGTCAGTCAGTTGAACTTCGATCCCGTCAAAGTAAGTGGAGCACAGCCACCTCGTCCCACTCCTGATTCCAGTTGGAAGCAAGTGCCCAGATCCAGCTGAAGCCGTCAGCATTCCAGACTTGCTCGGCACTAACCTTAACCTTTGTTTATAGGAATCCTCATCACCGTCATCTCTGTATCTCTTGATTTTCCGCTTCCCAACAATGCCCTCCTCCTCCTCCTCCTCAGAGCTGGTGAGGAAGTCGGATCCCGCAATTTCCTCTTCGTGCAAAGTCTGCATTAGTGAGGGCTTCTTCCCCCGTGGGACAGGGCTCACTCTGTACTCATCCCCATCACTGTCCTGAAAGCTTCCCTCTTCCTCCTCGGGACTGCCGAGGCCTTCATCGGGCAGGCTCTCTGGCTCTGTGCCGTCCTCCTGCTGCTCGGCTCCCTCCGTTCCCTTGGCCCTGGGGACGCTGGCCTTTGCCCGGATCTGAAGCACGTGGCTCTGCAGCTTTCTCATGCGCCTCTGCAGGCGGCTGTCCGTTTTCGACAGAGCTTTCCTCTTGCTTCCCTTGCCTTTCGGGGGACGTGCTGGAGCTTTGGACTGACCCTTCTGTACAGGAGCTTTCTGCTTGGCCCCCTTCTGAACAGATGACCTCCTCCGTTCAAACGAGAGCTTTGCTTGATCCGCCAAGTATTTTTCAAAGCCAGAGGCTTCGTTTAACATTATCTGGCGGGGCTTCCTCTCTTGTTTCTGGGGTATCTGTGTTCCAAAGGGGGTCATCTGGCCAGTTCGGATCAGCTTCTCCCATTCCGTTTCCTGGGCTGGCATAAGCATGCTGCCGAGGGATGAGGGGCCGGGGTCTAACGAAAACAATAACAACAGGAAGCACGCTTGAAAACTGAACCTTCACAGAATTATTTTCCAAACCAAGATGAACCCTGCATAAAAAAGACTGGTGCATTTATTGATCCGTGCCGGAAAGGGGCTGTCTGTGAGGCCGTCCTTGGGCCAAATTGCTCCAAGGAGTTTTGTGGCATTGCAGCTTGTGTGATGTGCGCAGGAGGAGCACAGAGTCGAGAAGGGAGAGGGCCAAAGGACCAACAACTGAGCAAGGAGAAATCTGGAAGGCGCCGAGATCCGGAAGGTGAGGGCTGGGGGGCTCCGCTTCCTTCCTTCCAGCCTGCTCACACATAACACCTCCCGACTGGGTTTTAAACTGGTGGATTATCATTACATGAGAACCAAGTTAGTAAGCTAACAGTGGTGCGCATTGACAGCCTTGTGCTAGAAACCTGGATTCGAGCAGTGCTTGTCTACTTCGACTTCTCTGCAGCTCAGCTAATTTGACTGCTGCTTTTAAAGTACGGGACGCAACACGGCAGTGTTCGTGGAGAAGGGACGTCCCTGCTGAACTTGGACAAGATTTATTTTCATTTGTGAAAATTCCTGCATGAGTATTTAAGATAAGCAGTTCTGTGAGTACACAAAATTAAACAATGCTCTTTAAAATACTTCAAAAATGTATTAACCTATACTGACCACTTCAAGTGAAGTAATGAAAGCTGAAAAGTGTGACGATTTCAAAAAAGTACTCCAAAGCCACAACCTCTCTGCTTACCTCCATCTTCTTCGGAAGCATCCTCACCTGGTCCATCGAGGACCTCTTCGCCTAGAATCACTTGAAGGTGCCTTTGCTTCGCTTTGATTTTTTTCAGCTGCTGCTCCTGGCATGGTGGAAGCAAGCAAGCAGTGCTAAAATCAGCCACGGACTTCCCAACCTCAAACAGCAAGAGAGGAGACAACGACTGCCCCCACACTTCTGGCGCACCCCTTCCCCACGCGTCCCCACTGACAGCCAGCCAGCTGGGCCCGGCGACTGGGCACGGGCAAAGCGAAGCCTCGCCCTGAGGGCTGTGCTGCACGTTACCTGCCCCTCTGCCCACCTCATGCCTGAAGCAGACAACAGGCTGGCCAAGCGAGACGACACCTGCGGCAGCGGCGAGAGCACGCGTGCAAAAGACAAGACACTGATCATCGAGGCCAATGAATGCAGTGGGGCGAACTGCAGGGATGCCCCCAAAAGTACATGGCATCCCTCGGGGCTTTTTGGGGATCTGAGAGCAGACAGACGCGGCCGTGAGCAAAACGGAGCGGCAATCACAGCTGTGGCGCCTGGGGGCCGGCTGGAGGACCGGGGCGGGGGGGGGGGAGCACATGCCATGCGGAGCCTGGGCATCTCCCAGGTGCACCAGGGGCTGCTCCGGGAACAGCGCACACTGGGCAGGCTCCGGCGCCGCGGCCTAGCGGGACATGTGGATGCGGCCAGTGGGAACACGCACAGCTTTTCAGGCACGTGTTCTGAAGCTCTCCTGAGTCTCAGATCCACAGACGAGTAGAGCAGGAAGGGGCCAGAAGGCCATCAGGTGCAACCCCCTCCTCAGTGGAGGACTCCAAATCAGCCCATCCTCCTCAGGGGGCTCCAGTTCCTATTTTATTTTATCTTGCAGTCATGACTATTTGAATCGTATACTGTATTCTAAGCTTTAAATGGTTGTGAGCCATCCAGAGAGCTTCTGCTGCAGGGAGGCACAGAAATGCAATAATAGGATCAGCGCAAAAGAAAAGGCACAAATGCGGGATGGAGGCAGTCCAGCTTCCAAGATGTACCTGCACCGGAAGATCAAGGTGCCGAAACCGAGCCAGCAGTGTGATGCGGCTGCAGAGAGCTTGTGCCGCACAGAGAGCACTACCAGAAGCACCGCGCCCGGCATCCCTCCTAGTCCGCAGGCCTTGCATGCGTCACAGATCCAGATATGGATGCCAGTTTCAGGATACTGAAGAAAACACTGACAAACTGGGGTGCATCGAAAGAGGAACAACCAGGAGAGGAATGGGGGCTGGAAGGTGGGAATGAGGTCCTAGGAGGACTTGCTGGAAGAGGTGGCCCTGAAGCAAAAACGAGGGGAAGACACAACAGCCGTGTGCAAATATGTGAAAGACGGTCACCCAGGCTGGTTCTTTGAGGCTGCAAAAGGAAGGACTGGAAGCAAAGGGTGGGAACTGCAGGTTCCCGCTTAACATTATGGGAAGCTTCCTAGTGGTCGTGAGCATTGGTGGCAGGAGATGCTGCCTCCAGAAATTCCCCTTCGCTGCAATGCGCCCTGCCATCGCACAAGCTCCGCCAGATGCCTGGGGTGGACGGTGGACTTTCAAAAGTGAGCACTTTTCTTTAGACCTTTGTTTTGCTCCAGAACTGCTGTTGCTGTTATTATATTCCACCTGTTCCCTGCACTGAGACTCAAGGTGGGACACAGTATTAAAACCTTCTGTTTAAACATAACTGAAATATATGCAAGTTAGAATTTGTCAAATACCGTTTTAAAATTATATAAGTACCAAATTAGAACAGATATATAAACAACAAAATTTGTCCAATGCAGTCTTGCAGGTCCAGACTATTCCCAAAGGCCTGCTAGACCAGAAAAGTTTCTGCCTGCCTCCAAGAGCCTAAAAGGGAGGGTGCCAGGCTAGCTTTCCTGAGAAAGGAGTTCCACAGCCGTGGGGCAGCCACCAAGAAGGCCCTCTCCTGTGGGGCCACAAAGCAGGCCAGTGAAGGGAATGAGAGCAAGAGAAGGGCTTCTCCTGAAGATCTTAAGGTACGGACAGCATCGTAAGAGAGTAATGCCCAACAAAAAGAAGTACGGAAACATAATGAGGATTCGTGTTTATGGGGTTTTTAAATTTGAAGAGGAGACCTTCTTAGAAAGGGTCCAGAGAAGTGAAACAAAGGTGATCCAGGGTTTGGGAACACTGCCCTATGAAGAGAGACTGAGAGATCAGCCTTGAGAAGAAAAGACTGAGGGGGGACATGATATTCCTCCAGAAGGACCTCCAAGGCTGCCACAAAGAGGAAGGCCAAGGTCTCTTCTTGCTGATCCCAGAGTGCAGGACACGGAATACTCAGTTCAAGCTGCGACAACCCAGATTCAGGCTGGACATCAGGAAAAGCTTCCTCACTGTCAGAGCAAGACGACAGGGGAATCAGCTGCCCGGAGAGGTCATGGGTTCTCCCACACTGGAGACATTCACAAAGAAACTGGACAGCCACCTGAGTGGGGTGGTGTGACTTGGTGTCCTGCACCAGCAGCGGCTGGACCCGATGGCCCTCCTGGCCCCTTCCAACACTAATACTCTATGATTCTATGAAGGAAACAGCTAGCAGGTGGTTCTCCGAGGTCCTCAAATAAGAACCTGCAACCAATATTCAACACCCGCCCAGAGTTTTGAAATAACACAAGCAAAATGCAACCTACATCTACAGCAGGAATTTGAAAAATAAAATCTTGACTCTTGAACCTTAAGGTACAATTTACCTTCAAGGAGTCACTGAAGCTTTCATCCTAACATCAAACCTTAAGGCAGAAGGAGAATTTTGGACATACCCACAATTGCCAAAGTTCTGTTACCTTGTTGTATTTTTGCCGCTTCACAGAATCTAACTTTCTCTTAATATCTTTGTTCGAGGCAGCTTGAGGAGTGAATTGCTCAATAATGGCGTCAATTCCTTTCAAGGATGCTTTACATGACCTGGGAACACAAACTCAAAGATAATCTACTAATCTTCATTGAGAAGATGCAAACATTGACAAGATCAACTTAAATACTGGTCAACATTTAAGCTGGGAAACACAGGATTGTTTCACCAAAGCAGTAGTTAGGTTTGCAAATGCTGGAAAACCAGCAGTTCATTGAAATCTGCAAGTGGTGGCAATCAAACAGCAATTGTAATGGCAGCACTTTTATTCTGGGTTTTGGTTAATGAATTCATGCTTAAATTCCAAATAGATTTTTTCAGGGAGTTGCTTTACATTCAGTAAAGGATATCAAATGCCTGACAGATTATCAGGTTAAATGTTATGGTGAATAAAGCACATTTTTAACTTTGTTAAGGCTAGTCCCTAGCTGATTCTGAACTGAAGTAGTTTTTGGATGGCGAGAGCCACCTGTCCCATGGCCCACAAGCTGAGCCAACCCCCACCTGTAAAATTACCCTGGAGTCGCCCGCAGGGTGCGATCGCACAAAGCTTTCCTTGCCAGGATTTCCCCAGTGATGCTCAGCCTTTCAACAAGGGCGATTATTTATGTCGTGCAGCTGGGGGAGGGGGGGGCTTGACAACAGTGGGGGTTCACACAGGGCTTCCATGACGGCGGAGGCCAATGTGGCCCACACCCCCCACCTGACGAGGGGGAGCGAGTAGCTCCGGCAGCCCACCATCCGGAAGGGCCACGCCTTCTGACAGAGGAGGAGGCCGCCATCCCATTCCCACAGAACATCTTGAGAAAACGTTCGCTGTCCTCAACAGAGAAGGGTGTCAACTTGAGGTCGCGGCAGCCCCTCTCCACAGCTCGGCCGTGAAGGCACCTCTGAGCAGCACAAGATACCTCCCGCTTTAGGCGGCACCGTGCCAGCAGTGAGGCCCTGACGAGCGCCCTCGAGCCGTCCCGGAAGAGGCCTCCTGGCTTCAGTGAGGCTTACTCAACGTGAACCCTCGGTGGATTTCACCTTAATCGTTTCAGCGCTGGATCGGCTGGCCAGGGCTCTGAACATCTGCTTTTATATTTGCAAAATGCAAATTCTCAAAAGCTATTTCAGGGCAGGGCATGTAAAATTTAAGGTGACATTTCATGAAATGGAATCAAGATTGGTTGATGTACAGAAAGGGCTTCGGCCTTCCTCAAAAAGGTTGTACGCAGCTTTCCGTTTCAGTGATGTGCAGATAAAAAGCAAGACTTTCCCCGTCTCACCTCGCGTCATCCAACACAGACCGGAGCTCTGTTTTCGCGCTGGCGACCTGCACCGCCTTGTTTGCTTCGTGCACGGCATGGTCAACCTGCCGAAGGACTCCTTGCTCCAGCACGTCCTGGTCGTAAACATCGACACCCAAGCCTCGGAGCTCCTCCGCCTGCACAGACTGGATCTGCTGCCGGTCAATAAGCAGCAGGGGTCCCTTCCTGGGTGCCCCAAAAGGAGCATCGGCTGCTGGTGCAGGAAAGCTGCTCTCGAAGGCAAGTGCATCCTGGCGGGGGCCCACGTGAGTCTCACTGGCAGGCAGGTCGTCTCCCTGCGCAGCCGCCGCACCTTCTGCCTCACCCAAACTGCTCCCGGCAGTACCATGGCTCTGTTCCTGAAGGCTGCCTTCCAGCTGAGGTTTCTCAGAAGGCATCTTCTGCTCAAATGCAAGAAAAAGTTGCAAGCGGTTTTAATTTTTTAACTTTGTGATGAAAATTGCCAGCTTCACAGAAGCTCTCCAATTGTTCCTGTCCCTCTGGACCAAAAAGGGGCATATACACTGTTCTGAGAGTGTATTTTTTTTTGCAGAAAGAATGGTATATAAAAGCCATAAATAAGTCAAAGGGCCAGGTAAGGGGACCTTCTAACATCCCTTTAAAAGGTTTCATCCTCATCAAGTGCCAGAATTTGTGACTGGGGCATTTGAGAGGTGCAGCCTCTGTGAACCACAGACTGACTGAGCTGCCTGTGCCATCGCCACTTCCCAACCTGTGATCCCAGAGAGTACAAAAGCAGCAAAACAGCAACTTCTCCTCACACATGGGATCCCTGCCAAGGACGACATGCCCCGACACAGCAGATTCAGCGGCAGAGCAGCCGTTTCCGCTGCAAGACACCTGGCTCACTACTCCGTGTCTGCAGAGAAGGTTAGCAAAGAATCCTTTCTGAAAAGCTGCCGCTCCTGCCAGTCAGTGTTGGCAATACCGGGCTAGATGGAACACAGGCGGCCTAGGATTAGGCGGTTCCCGAAAACCCTGTGACATAACTTGAAATCAGGAGCAAGTCCAGCAGGATCCTTACACAACCCGAACATGAGTCACCAGACAACATGTGTCCCAGTTCTTAATTTCTGGCCACGTTTTGCCAAGGATACCCTCAAGTGCTGCAGTGGTTAAGAGCATGGGCCTGGGACTCGGACGATCCGGGTTCGAGTCCCCGCTCAGCCATGGAGCCCACTGGGGGACTTTGGGCCAGTCACAGACTCTCGGCCCAGCCTGCCTCACAGGGTTGTTGTTGTGGGGATGAGATGGAGGAGGAGAATGATGTAAGCTGCCTTGAGCCCTTTGTAGGAAAAAGGCAGGATGTAAATCGGAAGATAAAATAAATGTTGTCATCCAGTCACAGAGAGACGGAAGAGCGGCGCCGGAAGGGGCCCGAGGGCGAGCAGGCCCAGCCCGCTCTCAGAGGCTGCCCAGCCGCATCCCGACCGCCTCCCCCGGGCGGGTCCCGCCGCCAGCCGCTCCGACGCCGCGCCGGAACCGGGCTTCCCGCAACCCGCGCCCCGCACTCGGCGGCGGCGGGGAGAGGCGCCGGCCCTCCGCTCCGCGACTCCCGAGCGATCCCGAAATCAGCCGCCTCCCGTCCGACCGCCGCTCGGCCCGGGGCGGGCAGAGGGTCCCGCGGCCCGGCGGCTGCGCGCCAGCGGGAGCCCCGGCCACCGGTCGGCCGCGCATGCTGCCCGGGAGATGCTGCGGCCGCCGCCGCGGCTGCCGGGGAGGGAGGCGCGCCCGGCCCGGCCCGGCCCGGCGAGAGGCTGGCGGGGGGCGCCCGAAGCCTCCCCGAGGCGAGGCGCGCCTCCCGGAGCTGCTGCCGGGGCGCCGGGCCCCACGCTGCCCCCCGCCCCGCAGGCGGCCCCTCACCGCGCGCCTTCCTCCTCCTCCTCCTCCTCCTCCTCCTCGCGCGGCTGGCCGAGGGGGACCACCGGGAGCCGCTCGCGCCGCCGCGCACGCATGCGCGGCCGCCGTGTCTCCGCTCTCCAGAGACCTCCCTGTTGGGCGCCTGCGCGAAGCCGCCCCGCCTCCCGCTGCGCCTGCTGCAGCATGATGGGAGGTGCGGCGGGCTCGGGCCGTTGGAAGGCACCAACAGCTCGGTCGCGGGGGGAGCCACCCCCGCTGTGAATTCTTTTCCCGCTCACCTTTACTCAGATTCCCCCCAGCCTGGGCGACACGAGTCCCGCTTAACCGTGTTCATGCCCGCGCGGTGAGCCGAGGCGGGCGGCGTGGAAAGGACGCCTCCCCCGGGCCGGCCCCGCGTGCAGCTCCTCCCCCGCCGGCTCCGCCGCGCTGCCGGGGAAGCGCGTCGCTGCGGCGACGCTCACGGGGCCGGCCGCGGAAGCCGTGCCCTTCTCCTGGCAGCGGCCGGGCTCGCGCAGGCGCGGCAGCCACCGTGCGGGCGCGCGCGTGCCGCCCTCGTGCCCGAGAAAGCGCCCCTGGCCCGGGCGGGGGCGCGACGCGTCTGTCGCGCCCGTGCGTCTACAACCGCCCCTTGCCCTTGCGAGGTGCCGCACTCCCCCCTCCCCTCCCCTCCCCTCCCCTCAACACCCCTGCAAGGTAGGTCGGCGGCCAGCTCGAAGTCACCCAGCGAGCTGGGTGTGGTAACCCCCCTCATAATTGAACATGCAGCCAGGGCATGGCTCGTCACGGGTAAAAGAAAGCATGATCAGGGTGTCCCGTTCGCGTAAACAAGAACAGGAACCCCAACAAATGTGCACGCTACGCAAGGATGAAAACAAGCAGGCTACGCTCAAGCATAACCGCCAGCGTCACGCCCTTGTAACCTCGCTTGCTTGCCTTAGCATGGGAAAGGTGCAAAATGTGCAAATGTAACTCAGTGGGGTTCCCCATTGTCCGCTGTCATCCAAGCACCTGCACAGCTGTAAAAGAGTATAAAAATAGCTGCAGTCGTCTGCTCGACACCACACTCCTAGAGTGCTTGGTCCCTGCAGGTTAATAAATCTCTCTCCAAAAATTCCAACCAGTCTCTGGTCTCATCCGTAAAATCGTGCCATACAACACTGCGTGCGCCAGAGGAGGCTCGAGCCCGGTCTGGCGTGTCCCAGCACAGCACAATTGACCCACCCCCCCCCCCGGCACACCACCACCCCGCCCCACCGGCTCAGCACAAATGGAGATACATGTGAGATAAATGCCTTTGAAAAACACGCAAGAGAGCGGCTTCAGAGCCTCCACCCCATGAGCAAGGCTGCCCAGCTGAAGGCGCCTTCTGGCGCTGTCATGCAGGACGGAGGGCTAGGCCTGGCGTGCAGGCAGAGCGCTGGAGCACAATCTGACGATTTAAAGCAGGCTCTCCACATGCAGATGGTGCGATGGGGATCTCCAAGCTCCTGCCGCTGCTTCTGTACAGCAGCAAGAAGCTGGCTGACCCCTGTGAGAGCTGCACTGGATGGACCCTGGATCTGGGCCAGCCGCAGGGCTCTTCTTCCGTCTGCCCTGCTCTGCTCCCACTGAAAAGCGTCTCCGGGGGTTTGCCGGACACTCAAGGCCTCTGGGCTGCAGCGCTGGGGTGGCAGCTGGCCTGCTGTGGAAGGCAGCGCTTCGCCACTTTTCCTGACTCTGTGCCCCAGGCCCATGCGCCCTGGGAGTGGCATCTCTCTTATGTATCTATTTTAGTTATTTGGGTTTCTTGTATGCCGCCCCATTCGCATAAGCCTTGGGGCGGCTTCCAACAAATAAATAACAATACAATACATACAAAACTGGTAACATCCAGGCAATAATTTAAAACCAATAAATAAGTTAGCAATTAATTAAAATAACATTTAAATAAAAAGGTCTTGGCCTGGCGCCGAAAAACAAATAACGACGGTGCCAGGCAGGCCTCTCTGGGGAGCGCATTCCACAGGTGGGCGTCACCGCAGAGAAGGCCCTCCTCCGGGTACTCGCCCTCCCAATATCCTTCACGGAGGGTTCCCGTAGGAGGGCCTTTGCCGCCAATCTCGAGGGGCAGGAGGGCAAATATGGGCGCAAGCGCTCCTTCTTTGCAGTGTTCAGCAGTTCGGTAGCACCCGCAGAATGTCCGCGTGTGCGCTGGCTCCGTCTCATGATACCAGTGCAGCCAGAGCCTCCATGGATCCCTCCGGGGGATGCGCCACACCAGCTCTTTGCTCTTTCTTGTGCCTCTTTTTGCCAATAACTTCAGAAGAGGAGTGTGCTGGGAAGTCAATGAGAGCATCCAGCCTTGGACGTTGGCCTTGGTTTCAGCTCTTCCATGAAGGCCAGGACGGAAATTCCGTCCCGAGATGAAAACACCCTTTTTATTCATTGCATCATGAACCTGCCAGAGACGGTAACTCGCAGGATGTAGATGGACAATAACTTTGCCGTGCTGCTGGAGGGTCTCCTGCTTCTGCCTGGCCCATCGAGTGACAGGTGCGAGCAGGTAACCCAGGAGGCGGCCTCAGCGACCTCATCAATCATTTACCTGGGTCGCCTGGCAGGCTGGCTGGCCTCTCGCCCAGCTCCGGCGGGAGCCCAGGGGCTTGGCAGCTCAGCCGTCAGGGAGGGGCTGACAGCCGCTGCGGCTGCATGCAGGTAAGAGCCGCGTTCCTCCCCCGGGTGTCCCGACCAGAGTGACAAAAGCCCCCGGGGACGGCGTGCCTTTGCTGGCTCAGGCAAGCCACCAGAGCCCAACCCCGCCAAGCTCCCACTTGGCTCAGGCATCCCCGGTGTGCTTGCCTCCAGCATCCACCCTCCCCGCTCCACAAGTGCAAGCCCCCTTCCTTCTCCCAGGTGGCGGGGAAACGATGCTTGGGCCCCTCTCTTCCTACGTACACATCAGGCCCAGCAGCAGTCTCCTTCAGCTTTCTGTCTACACTTGGCAGACCAGCTGCCCACGGGAGACCCCCAAGTAGGACGCGGATCCATCAGCCCCCTCCTGCCCATGTTCCCCAGCACCTGGACTACACAGGCATGCAGCCCCTGCCCCGGGGGTGGCACCGAGCCATGGGTGGCCCTCTCCTCCAGGAATGTGCCCGACCCCCTTTTAAAACTGCCCAAATGCGGCAGCATCTCCCTCTGCGTTCTCCGCACCGTGTGTAACTCTGCGCACCTCCATCAACGTGTCTGCTCACTCGCTTTTCCTCAGGGTGAACAACGCCAGGTCCTTTGAGCTTTCTTTGTGTGTGCGTTGCACTGTTCCCATGATCATCTGAGTCACCCATGTCTGTGCTCTTTCCAGCTCTACACTGTCCTTTTTAAGTGCTGTGATCAAATCGTGCAATATTCTAAGGGTGGTCGCACCATAGCTTTGCATAAGAGGAGTACAGTCTTGGCAGCCTGGTTTTCAATTCTCAGTTGCGCTCTACATTTCGACAGTAGTAACCTTCAGACTCTTTTTTACCTCCTCGGTTTCGCACAGCTGAGTGCATCTTCTGAGCATTCACACTGTCATTTGGCAGGTGCCAAATTAAGGCCATGCAACTCTATAAAAGAGGGGGCTTCAGAGCAAGCAACCTTGAGATGCCACCATGTCAGACCACCAGGGACTGGGCAAACCCTGCAGCCAGATGTGGGACTAATCCTGGCTGGGCGGCAGAGATCCAGCTCTCGCCCAGTCACGGAGCTCGCTGGCACCCCCTCCGGGGGGTCTGAGCCCCCCTCCTCACCCTCTCTCGGGTTAAGCTGCCTCACAGAACGGTTAGGGGGCAAAATGGGAAGAGGCCCACACACCACGGGAGCCTCGGGGTGAAGGAGAGGCAGACGTGCGATGGCCTGGGCACCGGCGCTTCCTCGTGAGGAGTGGGGCACGACGTGGCTGCCTGCAGGCTTCCCGGCTTGGCCTCCGACACGCACACATGGGGTGGGGGCGGCAGGGCAGGGAAAGGGGACGCATGAAGGCGGGGCCCGTGGCTGGGACTTCGCCTGGAGGCCCCCCAAAACCTGGAGGGGCCTTGGCCAAGATTGTGCATTAAACTGGCGGGTGCAGAGGGGTCTCCCGCAGAGTTCACTGGGGCTCATCCCGGGGTATGCAGGCTGCGACCCCAGGCCTCCCCCGCTGTCCCTCTCTCCCTCTAGGGCTGAAGCCCTCCCCGCCGCCCCCGTGGCCACCACAATGGTCTCCCCGGCCATCGCCTTGGCCTTCATTCCCTTCGTGGTCACGCTGCTCATCCGGTACCGCCACTACTTCCTGCTCTTCTACCGCGCCGTGGTGGTGCGCTGGCTGCAGGACCGCCTGACTGGCATCCCCCGGGAGGAGCGGGCCTTCCAGTACGTGCTGACCCACGCCGTGCCCGGCGACCCCCTGCACATCCTGGAGACCTTTGACCGGTGGAGCGAGCACTGCGAGTACCTCAGCAACCTCGGACCCCAGAAAGGTGTGGCCGGAACCCAGGCGCGAGGGGGTCTTTGGGGTTCTCGTGGTTTCGCCAGCCATCCCGTGCAGAAGGCTTGGGGCGTGGGGCGTGTGGGCAAAATACACGGCAAAAGTTCCCGAGGCGGCTCTTTCCAGGGTCTGTTTCTTTGCATGGCAGAGACCTGGAGACTTTGTGTCCTTCTGTTTCATGGGCAGTTTCAAGTCCACAAGCAAAGCCACAAAACCTGAGAAGGGGCTCCCCTTTGCAGCCCCCTCCCTGCCCCACCCCAAGCCTCCCTCCTGGGTAGTACCCTCTCCCCATTGCTGTCTGATGCGAGTGCCATGGGCTGCATCTGACGGGTGGCCGTGCCCTCCAAAGGCCGGGGCAAGTCTCCTGCCCTTAAGGAAGTTAAGCCCCAGACGACTCAGCTGCCGAAAGAGGGGTCGCGGCCCCGCTGTGCCCACTCAGGGTAGGCAAGACAGATGGCAGCCCGTGCCAAGACTGCTCCCGTGCATGGCTACCCCCAGGTGAGCCCCACTGAGTCCAGTGCCACGAGCCCCTGGGGAAGAGGGGAGCAGACCACGACTGCCATACGCTCGGCACTTGTCTGGGGGGGGGGGCGACATCGGAGTAGAAATGCCTCAGATCGCGCCCCGCCTTTTAGTTCCACAGATGTAATTCCTTTAACCTCTCTGCTGTTTCTGCTTTTGAGCTGCTCGGTTTCGCCCGATGCAGCTGATGGGAGCGGCAGGTGGCGTGCTCCGTCACGCCCCGGAGAGGTCACAGCTTCCTGTGTACAGGCTTTAGCCTTACGTTGGACACCAGCCTGAGTGTGATAGTAGAAGAGCAGCAAAAATCATGGCTGTTGCCATTATACTAGAAAGCAGCCCATCCTTGGTGCCCCCCAGCATGCCGGGAAAATCTGTTTTGGCTGGTGATCTCTGTATGCAGACTGGTTCTCTGTAGCATTCGAATCAGCACCGCCTTGGCTTTTAGCTGCTAAGGGACAGTTTTAAAAATGCAGGTGTGTTGGACACGCCGGGCGTTGGAAGACTTTTGTATTTGGAATGTATTCAGCTGCACCCTAAGTGAGTTGTTGCAGGCACGTGAGGCGTGGCTTGAAGACGATGTATTTTTTTTAAAGAAAGAATACTCCATGCTTATATTGCCATTTCACCTGCAAGATTTAAGGATAAGTTCTTTTCCAAGTGCCCCACATTTTAAAATTGATGGTTCAGTCACCAGAGTTCAGAGATTTAGATTAGGTTTTCTGACGTGCGGTGGAGAGGCAGGTGTCCACGCCGCTGCACCCTGCCACCAGTCCGTGGCCTCGGGAGGCTGCCAGGGCGCCGCTGCCGCCGCCAGCCTCGTGCTCTTTCTTTGGTGCTCCCAGCCAAGGTCCTGGAGCGGCTGATCTACGAGAAGGCCCCCCTCACGGTCCTGGAGCTGGGCACGTACTGCGGCTACGCCACCATCCTCATTGCCCAGTCCCTGCCCCTGGGCGCCCGGCTGTACACGGTGGAGATGGACGCGCGCAAAGCGGCGGTGGCCGAGAAGGTCATCCGCCTCGCCGGCTTCGACGACGACACGGTGAGTGGCTCCGGGTTGCTGGCATCACGGTGCAGCTGGAAGGGGCCAGGGGGCCGCCGGGCCCAGCCCCCTGCTCAGGGCGGCATTCCTCCGACGGCTGTCCAGCCTCCTCTTGAAAGCCTCCGGCATGAGAGAGCCCGCAGCCGCCCTGGGCGGGAGACCCTTGCCGTGCTGCTCTCAGTCAGGAAGTCCTTCCCGAGGTTCGGCCTGGTGCCGAGTCTCGCTGGGCGGTAGGCTCCGGACGTGGCAGGCGCGGCTCAACCGGAGCCATCCGATGAAAGCAGCAGCACTGGCAAGGGAGCGAGGTGGGAAGCAGAAGTGGGGCCCTTCGGAGGCCGCTGGATTCCGCCTGCCAGCATTGTGAAGCCAGCAGTCTTGTGAAGCCAAACTCTGACCCGCTTAGGGCCAGGTCTCCTCCCAAAATTACGTGCCCAGAAAGGGAGGGCGTCCTCGGAGGCCCCTCTCCAGGTGCCCCACGCTGCAAACAGATTGAGCTGGGGGTTGCTAGAGAGAAGGACCTTTCCAGTGGTGGCACCCGAGTAAATTGTATTCACTTCATTTCTATACCACCCAATCGCCAAAGCTATATTGTCCTAGAGGCTTTTCTGACCACTAATGCGTAGTCTTTTTGGCATTGTCTTTTCCTTCTTTTTCCAGGCTTTTTAGCCCTTCGGTTTTGAACAATCATGATGCATTTTTGGTTTCTGCACTGCTGCAGGCTGTTCCCTTTTTATTTTTGGTTTTATTCTGTTTAAAACAGAAAGGTTTTCCTGTTTCTTTGCTGTCATATGTGATGGTTTTAGGCTTGGTGATGGTGGAGGCACCGGTGGGAGGAGGGTGCCCGCTTGGGGAAGGCTGAACCAACTCCAGTGTGGTGTGGTGGTTCAGAGCCTGGGACTGGGACTCAGGCGATCCGGGTTCGAGTCCCCGCTCAGCCATGGAGCCAACTGGGTGACTTTGGGCCAGTCACAGACTCTCAGCCCAGCCTACCTCACAGGGTTGTTGTTGTGGGGATACGATGGAGGAGGGGCATGATGTAAGCTGCCTTGAGCCCTTTGTAGGAAAAAGGCAGGATATAAATCGAATAAATAAATAAATAAATAAAATAAACAAGCTCATTTGTGGCAGCGCATCTGCAAGTGGCAGTCAGCCGGGGAAGGTGGGACCTCAGCATCGAGGCCTCTCCTGACGCGGCCTCTCCTGCCCCGTGCAGGTGGAGCTCATCGTGGGGCCCTCGGAGGACGTCATCCCCCAGCTCAAAGAGAAGCACGGGCTGCCCCAGGCGGACCTGGTCTTCATGGACCACTGGAAGCGCTGCTACTTGCGGGACCTGCAGCTGCTGGAGGCCCACGACCTTCTGCCTCAGGGGGCCACCATCCTGGCCGACAGCGTCATCTTCCCCGGGGCGCCCCACTTCCTCCAGTACGTCAAGGCCTGTGGCAAATACAAGTGCCGCATACACAGGACCAGCCTGCAGTACTTCCGAGCCATCCCAGACGGCCTGGCCCAGCTCACGTACACCGGCCTGCAGTGACCTGCAGAGGGGGTGCCTCCCGTGTGAGCCTGAAAGTCATGCGTGATTTGTGTGTGTGTGTGCGGGGGGGACAGAAGCCAAATCCTGGCCTGCACAACTCCATAACCAGCCGAGAAGCCAAGAAGTGCGCAAACATAATTTCACGGTGCAGAGCAGAAAGCAAGCTGACAACTCTGTTGGCTTTGTTTTAATGCAGATTTGCCGTTTTGGGGGGGGGGTAGCGGGCATGAGCAACACACAGCTGCCTTTTTCCTTATCCAAGTGCAGATCAGCTTATTGATTCATACCCTGCCTTTCCACCAAAGAAATGGGGCTCACGTTTTAAAGTCTGTCCCCCACTTCAAGGAGCAGTGGGAGATGTGGGTCGCAGGTCCCGGACGCCGGTCTTGCCGCTGCCATCCAGGGACTCGTTAGCAGTTTCACGTCTCCTCTGCTAAGCAGCGAAGGTTCCTAGGCCAGAGTTTATGAAGGGCGTAGAACAAAGTTCTTGGCCCAGTTCAAGAGAATTTCGATTTCAGAGCAAGGCAAAAGGCAAACTTAAACATTTTAGTTTATTTAGTGTAGTTCATTCAGAAATATAATCTGAATGAAAGCATCATAAAAGTATCTGCCCCGATCTTTGCCTTTTTTCCATTGTGGGCAGACACACCCCAGGGCCTTGTGAGTCTGCTTCTGCTGGATGGCCCGAGACTGGATTTGGGGGGCGGGGGCTTTGCTCAGATTTCAGGGACTGAACAGGGAAATCTTCTGAATCACGTCGACGCTGGCACAGCAAAAGTGAAGCAGGGCTTTGTACCGCCCTGGGGACCAAGGAGCAAAAGCTCTGAAATGCATTAAACTGGATTTCTGTGATGCAGCCACTGGATGGCAGCTTACAAGAACCGAATCAAAATTTAAAAAGCAACCTTTGTGTAAACGGGAGCGGGGGAGAAATGATCATTACATGACCCAAGGTGGTTTAAAAGGGCCTCAGAGGTCATTCAGAGTCTATACAGGCATGAGAAACTGGGACGACCCAGCCTTGCACCGAAAAGGTATTCAAGGTGCCGACTGTCTAGGGAGGGTTTTGCAGTGCCCCAGCTCCCAAGAGGCCTTCCAAGTACTCCGGAGAAAACACTTTCAACACAACCTGCATTGATTGTGCAACATTTGCCCATCTCCCCAGCTCTCTGCCCCCACCAAGTTACAGCTTCCTCAGCTTTTATTTATTATTTAAAATATTTAAATGCCTCCTATTCCAACAACGGCATCCCTAGGCGGCTCACAATACATTAATGTGTAAAGTTTACAAAGTATATTCAGAATTTCCCCTAAGTTCTCTTCCCTCCCTCTGTCAAGTTCTGGCAAAAGTGTTTTCCACAAACTACGCTACACTTACAAATGGGACCCTTCTCTACAGATTCAACATCCGAAGCGGTCGAATCTGCATCCGAAGCAAAGACGCAGAAGTCTGCTTATGAGGAGAAGGGTGTTAATGCAAAGTTCCAGGATCCTCTTCTCTCACCACCCACCCCATTTCTTACAAGTTTAGGAGTAGCCAATTAAGGTACGAAACTAGCAAAACAAAACAATGAACAAATGAAGATTCCAAATGAAGATTCCTGTGAGCATCATCAAGCTTCGACTCTCTCTTGCACTGTTACATACACTGGCTTCTGTAACAGAGACTGAAGAAACTGTTATCTGAAATGAAATGTTTGCCAGCCAGAAGTTTCAAGGTTGTTCTTCTGCTCACACAAGCTGGACCCCCCATCTGGAACCCCCATTTTTGGTAACCCCCACTCTGTTGCAGCTTTCTGCCCCAAATCCTCAGCAGCAGCTTTCAGGAAAGGGGTAGGAAGCTTAATCAGCAAAAGTTGGATACTCTGATGAACTGTTTCCACTAAGGGAAAGATGGGCACAACCGTCTGAGCACAGGGAGTGGCTCAGTTCTGCCACCAAAGCGCGGTGTGGCGTTCGAAGCTCACCTGAGGTCTCTCACACGGACTCGCGGCCCAGAACCAAGAACGGCACAGCCGTCTCTCAGCAGTGATGGGGAGGGATCCTTTCTGTTTGGTTGTAGCTTATCTCCAATCCATTGTTTATCTCCAGATATGAGAACTCTTTCATCTCCACTGCAATTTCCTTCAATAGCTCTCCCAGGTCTTTGAGAAGAGCTTTTAGTGCTTTCAGTATTCTAGTTCGCAGGTGGTTTTTAACTTGGCTTTATATCGAAGACAGTTTTATTCTTTGTTGTTTTATCTTAGTTTTATTCTGGACTTCTTTTGTTTAATGTTTGTTTTGAATGCACTGTACTCTGCCTAGAGGACTTTGGTTATCGGGTGGTTTTAAAGTACATTAAATAGATCATATAACTGAAGTTCGGTCTCTGAGTGAAATGAAGCCTTCACAAACATCGTCTGCCGCACTCCTTGCCTGCAAAGTTGCGCCAAATTGTGTTCTGACCTGGGAGGTGTCTGAAGGCAGAGGCAGTCTTGGGGGCATGGCCACTGCCCGAGGATTTGGGGAAAGAAAAAACCTTTTTTTCATTTTGTGTCTCATATTCTTGCCTAAAGAACGCACTGTACGTTTAGAAAGCAGCGAACACCCACACAAACGAAGACGACATACTGGGAGGTGCGGGCAGGGAAGGACACGGGTGGTTTATTGATGCGAATTGTACCTCACCTTCCCAGGGTAAAAACGGCACAGGGCGGCCCAGAGGCACAATTAAAACGGATTAGAATAAATAAAACATCACATTCAAATACAAGAAAAAGCAGAACACACACTGAGGTTTTAAAAAATTTAAAACAGTACCCAACCCAACAGCCCCACTCCTGGGTTGTTTCCGTTGCTTCTGGATGCCTCGCCCCCAGGAACATCCCATTCCGACCCTCCCATGGGGGGAGGCAATCTCCAAAGCCCGTGGCATTATAACAGCAATTCTGCCCCTACCAGCTCTCCAGGCCGGAGCTCTTCCTCCCCCGCTTAATCTCAGGGTCCTGGCCAGGCAGCGATGGGCGCACAGACCAGACTGGAATGGGAACACGATCAGAGAGCAGGTTTATTGGCAAAACACGCTCCAGGGGCAGGATCCCTGGGCACCCACATCCAGCCAAGCTGCCACGGCTGCAAAGGGCAGGTCCTGCAGCCACAACCCGCTTGTCTCGCTCGAGTCTGAGCAGAACTGAGCTCACCGGGGAGGATGGAGGGTTTCAGCCTTGCACCCCCCTTTCCAGCAATGATTCAAGGCAGTTTGGGAGACCCGCATCAGCCTGCTGGAAGAGGAGATGATCCAGCATTTCCGGGCCCGGGGCATGTCCATGGTGCTTTTTAGCTCAAAGTTTAGATCATCCACTGGTCTTGATCCTGCTCAGCCCCTTCCATATCCACCTAAGGCAGGGGAAGGGCAAGAGAAGAGGAAAGAGAGAAAGAGGAAAGTCAGAGGCCAGACTAACAGAGGGAGTCTCGTGAGGCTTGAACTAAAATTTGTCTAAGTGACCCACTGGCCTTGAAGCTGGGAAGCCCCGTTCAGTTCCCCCCCTTCCTTGTGAAGTTACACACAGCAAGCTATCGCATGAGCCCTAGAGCCCCCGACAAGCCCCCAGAGTGCTGCCCGGATCACAAGGGGACCGAGGGGAAGCAGCTCCAGAGCCCCAGCCGGCCGCACAAACCTCGTTGATCTCCCCGTCGTCGGGAGACTCGTTGTAGTCGTTCATTTCATCCATATCCTGCATGTCCTCATCATCCTCAGAGTCTTCCTCACTGTCTTCATCATCTTCATCATCCTCTTCCTCCTCCTCATCGTAAGTCTGCTAAGGCAAAGCAACGGTACAGCTGTGACTTCCCAGTCATTCTGTCTGCAGCCCACGACAGGCCTGTCCATGCAACTCCGGAACGCTCGGCACTTTCTGCCTCCAGCCCTTCCCCGATCGGCAGCCAAGCCTTCAGAAAAGTGGCCTCGTTTCACCTGTTCCACCATTCGGGAGAAATCTTGCCATAATCAGCCATAGTTTCCCACCGTGCATCTCCACTGTTATCTTAGTAAATGGCACTGGAAGCCCTCAGGGCTGTCCAAAGTACTTGCAGCAGTATCTATCCATTTTATTTTCACCTCACTCAATTCTAACATCTCGAGAAGTAATATCACTTCGCGAAAAAAGTATTTTAATTGGAAACGCATCTTGAGCCCAAAGTCTCATGATCTAAGTTGCATAAACATCTTTATCCTTCTCCAGGGAAACGTCCCGATCTTTTCAGAACTGATATCGCCCCAAAGCAGCACCCCATAAAATAGGGAGGGGAAAGAACCCAAGCTGTGCACCCAATCACCGGTTGCACTGGGAGTGAGTGGCCAGCATTCACTGAATCCCAGCCCGTCACAGATCTTCTCTTTGGGCTTTGATGGCCTCATCCATGAGCAGGTGACGGGGCTGGAAACTCCTGACGCACAAGCTTCTAGGCAACAGGAATGCATCCCCGTGAAGCTCTAAGCATGCTGGCTAGAGAGAGAACGCCAGCCCATCCTCACCCACCCCTGCCCAGTCCCTCTGCCAATCAAGGCACAATGCCCCTCCGCCTGTCCCAAGGGATGTTCCGGGGGCTACGCAGTTGTTACCTCTGAGGCAGGTTTCCCAATTGGGACCAAATTATTATCTTTTTCTGCTATGCTCTGCAGCTGTGGAAACAGGAGAGAGAGAAAAAGTGGAAGTGAGTACAGAGGAGTTCCAAGGATGCCCGGAAGGCAGACTCAGGCTTGAGCAGGTGAGTCTGTGCTGACAGCTAAGCTTCCAGTGGAAGCAGGGGGGGCTTTACAGACAAAGTACGGGATGAGCCCAGAGCTCCTCTTCTGTCCCAGAGCAGCCTCTTGTCCCATGGCTCACCCAGGCCTGGTGCTGCTGTTCCTGCTGCTGCAGCTCATTCTCATCCACACAGGGCCGATCCAGGTTGAACCATAGCGCCTCAGTGACTCGTGGGAACAGGGAGGGAAAGAGGGTGGACATGTCTTCCTGAGGATGAGAGAGGAAGAGCTGATGGAAGTCAAGAGCCACATTTGGGGAGAAAAGGGCAGGAGCACTGAGCCATGAGGCTACAAGGGAAGGAACTGGACACACCACATCCAGTCCTGTCCCCACAGAAAGGTCCTCCACAGATCAGCCCCGCGGCCCTGGTGGATCCCTGCGACACAATGAGCTCACGGTGCCCTTCAATAAAAGGGGGTTGGAACAATGGTCTTCTGGCCCCTACCAAGCCTACTACTCTATGATTCTGCGAGCGACACACTGCAGGCAGAAACAAAGCTGCGTAGTGTGGATGGGAGGGACGATTCGTGAAACTCACCGTTCTAAAAAAGGACGGATTTAAGCAAAATTCTCCCAAGCAAGACAAGGAACTGGCATACATTCAGTGTTGTATTCTTTTGGATTTGGTAGCCCATGTCTCTCCTGGAGAATGGAGCGCAGAGGCGCAAACACAGTGCACAGAACAGCAAGCCAATGCAGCCACATTGACGCCTGGTGGGCAGACTACTGACAGGAAGGGCCAGGCCTGAAGCTGACCCACACCTGGGGCAGCACGCCTGCTTTGCACATACACGCTCCCAAGCTGGATCCCCGGAAGGCACCTCCAGTTAAAAGGGCTGGGCAACAAGTGGAGAAAAAGGCCTGCTCCACCAGAAACCCGGCGAGCAAGACCAAGCAAGAGGAGGCACCCTTTGCGTGGCTTGCACGACTCCAGGCCAGAAACTCGGTCCCTTCCGGTGGCCTCATCAGACCAGAGCAGTGCAGGGGCGCAGCCCCAGGGCCGGGCCTTGGCCCCGGGGGCACCACCCGCCCTGCATGCAGGAGGCCCCGATTCAGTCCCTGGGGCCTGAGAAAAGCCCTCGCCAAACCCCGACGGGAGGGCCGCTGCTGCCGGGCCGTGCTGCCAACCGCGGCTGGGCGGGATGGAGCGGCCCGGGGCTCGGCGCCCGTGCCAAGCGGATCCCGCTGCCCGCTGCGAAAGCGCCGTCCGCGGGCTCCCCGCCTCCGCCCTCGCCGCGGCGGCCCTGGCGGCAGAGGCTTCGGCGGCGGAAGAGACCCGGCCCCGCCAGGGGGTGCGGCGCGGCGGGGCCGCCCGAGCCGGGCCCTGCAAGGACCCCCGGGGGCTGGGGGGCGCCTCGGACCGGCCCCGCTCGTGGCCCGGTCCCGGGGGGCGCAGGGGCCGAGCCGGCCGGCCGGGGGCCAAGAAACTCCACGGAACCGGCTCTCACCTGCCACTGGCGGCGGGAAAAGCCAAGCCCGATTCGAATTCGCGATGACCCGGAAGTGCCCCCCACGGGGGCGATCACCTGGAAGTGCTCCGCCGCCAGAGGCCGGAGCCGCCGCTTTGGGGGCACGAGCGCCCGCGGCTGGTCCGCTTCGCCGCCACCGGCACCGAGCGCCGATAGTTTCGGCCGCGGAGGCGAGCCCTCGACAGCGAGCGCGCCGGGCGCCCGGGAGCCATTCCGCGGCCTGCCGGACGAGCGTCCCGGGCCCGGAAGTCGCGTCGCGTCGCGTCGGGGGGGGGGCCGTGCGCAGGCGCGGCGCGGTTGCCAGGCGACGGGAGCGCGCTTGGACGCGCGGGGCTTCCGTCGGGCGCGAGGCCCCGGCCGGGGCGCGGCCTCCCCTGGCAGAGCGCGCCCGCCGCGCCGCCTCCGCCTCCGCCTCCGCCTCGGGGCCGCGCGCAGGTGCGGGGCCGGGGCCGGGGCCTGGGCCTGGGCCTCGGGGCCTCGGGGCCTCGAGACGTGCAGGGCGGCGTTTGCGAAGGGCCCCTCCTGGTGGACGGTTAAGGACTGCGCCCCAGAGGCCATGGGGCACGGCATTTCCCGGCGGCCTCTCCTTGAAGTAGTTCTGATTCATGTTACTGGACAAATTTTTAACGTTACTTAAAGATCGATTCTTTTAATTGAATAAATCAGTTCTTTAGGAAATCAACCCCGACTGCTCTTTAGAAGGCCGGATACTGAAGCTGAAGCTCAAAACTCTCTGGAGAAGAGCCTGATGCTGGGAACAATAGATGGCAAAAGAAGAAGGGCCTGGTAGAGGATGAGGTGGCCAGATGGGGTCACTGAAGCAGTCGGCGTGAGCTTGGGTGGACTCCAGGGATGGTGGAGGACAGGAAGGCCTAGAGAAATGTTGCCCATGGGGTCCCAAAGGGTCGGACGCGACTTTGACTAGCAATAAAGCTCAATAAGTTGGAACACTGGGAAAGAGCAAGAGAATGAATTCGTCGGGGACAAATGCCACTTTTGTGACTGAACAACAACAAAAAGATCAATTAAAAGTATCAGATGGTAAAACATCTCCCAGAGAGCTTTGGCTGTTGGGCAGTAATCAAATAATTTTATAGTGAAAGCTTGCTGTGCTGTATGAGAGATTCATTTGCCTGATGGATTTCTGTCCTCATCAACATCACTTTTCTTTTTAAAAAGTGGATGTGGGATAAGGAAGTGAAGGTAGGCAGTGAGGTGGATTTGTTTTTGTGTAGGTAGATTTGCAAAGGAACAGTGGAATTTGGGTCTTTTTCTCAGCTGAATGTTTATAACTTTTTTCCTGTGAAGAAAAGATAGGTGATCTCTGCAGACACAAATTCACAGTTTAGAGAAGTATAAAACCAAGCAACTGGAATGTGGCTTCCTGCAACCTGAGCCTGCTGTTCCCCTGTCCTGCACTCCGGGATGATTGAGAAGAGACCCTGCCCTTCCCCTTTGTGACAGCCTTTCAGGTATGTGAAGAGTGCTGCCACATCCCCATTTGGTCTCCTCTGCTCAGAACGAAACCTGCTCAGCTCTTCCCATCACTCCTCAGAAGGCTTTGTCTCCAGTCCCGGGATCATCCTTGTTGCCTTCCTCTGAACCTTTTCCAGCTTGTCTGCATCTTTTTAGACTGTGCTGGCCCGCACTGCATACAGTACTCCTAATGAGGCCTAAAGGGGAACTAGTATTTCATGTGATTTTTCACGTAATACTTGTATTAATGCAGTTCAAAATAGCATTGCCATTTTGCAGTTACATCACATTGTAGACTCTTACTCAGCTTATGAGCTACAATTCCAGGATTCTTCTCACAGAATTGTTGAGTCAAGTGTTCCCCATCTTGCAACTATACTCTCGGTTTCTTCTTCTTCGGTGCAGAACTTGGCATGTGTCTCTATTGAATTTCGTTCTGTTTTCAGCCCAGTGCTCCAACCTATCAAGCTCACTTTGGATCGTCTTTCTGTCTTCCAGGGTATTAGCCATCCCACCCAGCTTGGGTCATCTGCACACTTGACCAGCATTTCCTCATCCAAATCATTGGGCAGTCCCCTGCTTATTACTTCTCTCCATTGAGAAGCATCCTCTGAATCTGGTTCTGTAGCCAACTGTGGATTCACCTGATCATTGTTCCATGTATTTTTAGCTAATTTGCTAATCAGAATATCATGGTACACTTTGTCAAAAGCTTTGCTGAAGCCAAGGCTGATTTTGTCCACAGCATTTCACACTTCATCAGGAGGTTACCCAATCAAAGGATGAAATCAAGTTAGTCTGGCAGGAATTGTTCTTGAGAAATCCATGCTGGCTTCCAGTAATCACTGCTTTGCTTTCAAGTTGTTTGCTGAGTGACTGCTTTATAATCTGCTGCAGAAGTTTCCCAGATTAACTAATCCGTAGTTCCCAGGTTCTTTTCTTCCTTTCCTGAAGATGGGGACAACATTAACCCACCTGCAGTCCTCCGGTGCTTCCCCTGTCCTTCATGACTTCTCAAAGATAACAGGCAGTGGTTGTGGGAGTTCTTCCACCAGCTCGAGTTCATCAGGCCCTGGAGATTTGAACTCAAGTCAACCCAATTAGATGGTCTTTGACCATTGGCCTATCAATCTCGAGCTGCTGTTCTGCTTCTTCAGCTTGTATTTTCTCTTTATCAGGAAGGTCATAGATCTTTTAGCAGAAGACTGAGCTGTAACAGTAAAGCACGACAGCAGTGCTTTAGCTGCCCAGGAGTCCACACCTCCTGGCCATTCCCATGCCCTCAATACTCCCAAGGAGTTGAACCCACTGGATTTCAGCACATGACCCAGGTTCTTGGGGAAACAGACACTTTATAAAACAAACACAGACAATGGGTGTGGAGGAACTTTAAAATGGGGCGCACTCTCAGGAATATGAACGCACATGCACGAAAGGAAGGGGGAAGATGGATGGTAGCACACAATTTACAGATTAAAAATTTGAACCTCAAAATCCCGACTCTTTTGGCCACCCCAGACCTAAAACAATAAAACTAACTAGTCTAAGACTAATAACCAGCATAATGCTTAGCAAGCTTTCTCAGAAGTGGCGGACCAAAGCACAGATGGCGGCACCTCTGGCAGCAGAGGTCTCGCTCAGGAAGAGTGAACCCCGGGCTGGCTTGGAAGCCCTTCTTTCGTCCCCCACTGGCAGGCAGAACCGTTAATCCCATGAGCTGACATCTCCTGACCCCTCAGGTAGAGTCCGTCAACGGGGGACGGGTCAGTCCTCGGGCATCCTCTGCCCATTAGACGCTCTTCCTCTCCTCCCTCGCTCAGCCAAGGCACTGGTGCAGCCTTGAAGCCGCCCCCCGTGCTCCGCAAGCCTAGAACGGGGGCTCGGCCCCTTCTTCCCTCCTGGGGACTCAACGCCCTCTGTGCTGCACAAGCCAGTGTGGGACTTGAGCACTTCCGCCTTGTCTCTGCCGCCCATCGTCATTTCTCCCTCCGCAGTGAGTAGCTGAACCCCCTTTTCTTTCCTCTGGCCTTTATTGTGGACATATCCGAAGGCATGTCCGCATCCGCTTCTCTGCCGCTTTTCGCCTCCCCGCTAGCCTGCCGCCTCGCTTCTCATCAACAGGGGTGGGGGCAGAATAGTTGGCCTCAACACTGCCTCTCCTGTCCCAAAATGGCTGTGCAGGGTCAGACGATGGCTTGGTGTTCAACAGGGTCGTGTGGTACAGTCATTAAGCGTGTGGGACAGGGACTCGGGCGATCTGGGTTCTAGTCCCCCCTTAGCCATGGAGCCAGCTGGCTGACTTTGGGCCAGGCACAGGCTCTCAACCCAGCCTACCTCACAGAGGATAGTTGAATGCAGGAGGAGGACGATTATGTAAGCTGCGTAGAGTTCACTGTAAGAAAAGGGCAGAATATAAATTTAATGAATAACTAAATAAACAAGCGGAGCCTAAAGGGCACCACAACGTGTTTATTTAAAATGAGAAAAGCGGGGATTAAAAGGATGAAAGATGGCTGCAGGAGGAGGAGAAGAAGCCAGGCGGAAGAAGAGGCGAATCCACCGTATCGCAGGGAGCACCGCTCCTTTCCCTACACATGGCTGAAGCACGGGGTCCCCAGAGGGCAGCAGTCCAGCTCCAGTGCCACTCAGCTAGCACCCCCAAAGGAAGGCCGTCTTCCAGCCCCCACACCCTCCTCCTCCTTGCTCCCCGGTAACAGGGCAGACTCCATTTACCAGCCGCCTCCCTTCCCTTTACCGGGCAGCCTCAGGGAAAGGCCTTCCAGCCGTGGGTTACTAGGAGCAATTTGGCAGGGCCTCTGGCCTTGAAGAGGACTGCCCTGTACTCCTGCTAAGCCGGCGAGAAACCTTGGTGGCCTCGCCAGGCCGTCTCTGCGGCAGCGGGCATTCTGAAAGGAAGACGCGTCTCTGCCTTTTAACCCTGGTCTGCCTTAGGGCTTAGGACTGGACTTCTCCGCAGTGGACATCTACCCCAGTGGAGATGGTGTTCCCCTTGCATCCTTCTCAGTTCAGACTCCCTGCAGGAGAAGAAAACAAGGAAGCGGCCCTGGGAAAGGATGCTGAAGGGATGTGGTACGGTGTGGACCCCTTCAGTGTGAGTGGCTCTGATTCCACCCTAAAAGCCTTGTCTGGAAGGAGCCGGGAGCCGTGCAGTTCCGCAGCAAAGCACACCACACCTGCCTGTGTGTGGAAGCCGCCATTGGTTTTCAGTCCAATCAATCGAAGGGTCTCTCGCTTGTTCACGGCCTGCTTAATAAGCTTTCTTGCAGAGGGCTCAGACTTGAGTAGCACAGTCCACGCTTCATGTTCAGAAGTCCCCAGGTTCAGTTCCTAACATCTCCCTGCACCTGAGAAGCGCAAGATTTTTAATCCTCAGAGTTGTGGCTGGAATAGCAGCCCCCGCAGCTCCCCGGGTCCCATCGCAGTGACTGTCACCTTTGCAAGACAAGTCCACGGGGCAGGAAGAGATTAGACACACCCTTAATCCAGCTGCCTTCCTCTGAGTCCCTGTGCCTCAGTGGCCCACCGTCCGCCTGTCCCCGTGCCTCCTGGCTGCCCACGGCCACCACCCCATTTAAACATCCCTAAGCTGTGGTCGTCCGGGCTCCAAGGGTCTGCAGGGTTGCTTGTATGGCCAGCCCCAAAGGCAGAGATTGCCCCCGGAGAATCAGGGTGGCCCCACCAGCTGACCCTGGGAGAGCAGCCTTGG